TGACAAGATGCAGAGTCTTCTGAAGACTTTGATTGGGAATTTGAGAATGTTTGGGATGCGTTTCTCACCACTCAAATGCAAATATTTGCTCGAGGATTGGTGTTCAACGGTGCCTCAGGTAACAATGGAGAGTTTAGTGGTTGAGTGTGTTGACGACCTCACTCACTTGAAAAGTAGGATCAGTCCTACTCTGGTGGGTCAGTGGCCAATGAAATCTCTGCACGGATACAGAAGGCTCTAGTGGCTTTCGCCAACTTACGCCACCTGCGGCACCGCCGTCGTATCCGATTGTCTATTAGGAGTGGCGTGTACTGCACAGCAGTCTGGTCTGTCCTACTGTGTGGCTGTGAAACATGGCCATTGAAAGTGGAAGACATGAGAAGGCTCCAAGTGTTTGACTTCTGTTGCCTTCGTAGTGTAGGCCATATTCCGTAGTGTCACCACGTGAGTGAGTAATGCAGACGTCAGGTGTAGAGTTTTAGGGAGTAGAGGTAAGTCAGTCGACGAGGTTATTAACCTTCATCTACTGGGATAGCTGGTTGGGAGGTGTTACGTATGCCTAGTCGCTGATTGGCTTGTCACACAATGTTTGCCGAAGTAGGTGGAGGCTGTAAAAAGGGCCGAGGTGGCCAGACTAAATGATGGCGTCAATGTATGAAGTGTTTGAGTGTTGGTTTGAGCGATGTTGGGCGATGCAGACTAGGTGTTTGGTGTCCGTGGGACAAGAGGAACCAGTGGTTGAAGACTGACTCTAGGTGATCACATGGCTGAGAACCGATGTGAGTGGTGCAGATGTATACGCACACGCACACACACATTATCCTCATGTTAATGACGCTGTGCGGAATCTCAGCATTTTCTCATTCTCCCTTTCTCTCTTTTCGTACTTTATATTTCTTCTGAGTGAATTTTCTTATGTTCATCTTTCACCTCACCGGCTTTTTACTGGATGTACTGATGTGAGGTGTGTTACCTCGGTATGTTACGTAATGCTGCTTGGTCCTGTGTTGATATTGATAATGATAGTGATACTTCCCAGCTGCCCATATCGTGTTAATATACTTCGTGAAGTAACTGCAGGAGAAACTGTATCAGTAATAGTGATGTATGGACCAGGAATATCTGCTTAAGGTCCGTCACATGTAGCTTTTTTTTTAGAAGACTGAGGTTTAGCTTTGATTGGTTTCATTCTAGTTAAAAAACATGTACCACTGGTACTGGGCAACTGCAAGGCAACAAAGTGTACTGTTTTCAGAGTTGACCTTTAATAACTCCGCTTCCTAAAAAGAAGACAGCTTGAGCACGGAATGCTGGTCATCCACGTGGAACACACCTATTCAGACAACCAGCAGTACAATTTTACCCTAGAACCCCGATCATAGTGTAGCTATTCTCGCTATAATGACAACTGCTTTTCGTCTTCACACTATCCAATAGATTTTTCTGGCACGGTGCGATCTCAAGGAAAAAATGTTCTCATTAGCATAGCTCGTCAGGTCATTATGATATCCAAGCCCGACAACCACGTCAAAGTAGCAGATACCTATGGGAGAAAAAATAAATCAACTGTCTCAGCTACCACGTGCACGTTCGTGCGGTAGTATATTAGCCACATCTGTTGTGTGAAGGCCAATGAGACTACTTGGCTGCTTAGACAACTGTAGTAACTACAGCGTTCAAACCCGACCCACCAGCTGAAAGAAAATCTCCCAAATCAGTAAGCTACACTTCCACCATCTGAGGGACCAGCTTATTGTATTTAACGATCAAATGTTGTGCTGACAGTTTTTTGACTGCTTCCTCTGATTGACTCCTTATAGTCACTTTGCATTGGTAGGAAGTCTAATAAAATCTTCGATAAGTTCCTCAAGATAGTCTGTGGAGTCTATGTAGAGTTGTGGCTCATTGGTTTAGGGATATGACTTCCAACCGGTGGGTCACGGGTTCAAAAACCACTCCACCTACCAAGGTTTAGGCAGCCAGGTGGTTTCATAGCCTGCGCACAATATATGTGGTTCGTTGCCTGCTGCATAAATGTGTACAAGATAGCTGAATGGATTTCGATTTTCTCCAAGATAGTCGAGTTCCTAAATAAGTTTTTTTGAGCTGTAGAAGAAGAATTAAAATAAAATGCCACCCATACTCTTACCCATGCCGCTATCGTTCAGACATAGTAGATTGTTAGGCATAGCTAGTTCCGAGTTTAAAGGGAAACATATTTCTCAGCAAAACCAACACAATAATTACTAGATTCGTTAATTAATTCCCTTAGCTAATCGGGTTTGTTAAGCAAACTTTGTGGGTTTGTAAGGATATAATTTATGCCTTTTACTCTGAATTTGCTTACCAAGACCCCACTATTGTCTCGCCTGTTGCATAAATCAAATCCTCAGGTGTGTGGGTTGGGAATCCACTTACTTGTAGTTTACCGATAAAAAAATTCTAAATTGCCTCTGGCGGATTCTGTTGGACTACTTTCATTGATAAAAATGGTGTGCTATCGCTACGTGACACTTCTGACTTATTCACAGTGTATGCATTTTTTGGCGCTGGCGTTCTGGATTTCGTATATATAGTCATTACATTTCACAGAAGTAAATCCTTCTGCATAAAAATCCCAAATTTACTCGAATTTTTGTACATACTTTTGACCAATCTTAGCTCGCATCGTATTAGGGGCTGCAGCATGCATTTGCATCAAACATTAGGTACATGGTTATTTTTTTTTTGGTACGTATTCCTCAGTAGGAATGTTCTTCACTTAAGCGTATCGATATAGATATGAGAGGAATTTAAAACAGTTCTCGAAGTGGCTGAAGTAGGCATAAAGTGATTGTTAGCTGAAAATTGATTTGGACTTGGTTGGAACGGTGCTGATAGATTCTGTATTCATTTGAATCCTAAATGTTTTACTTCTCCAGAAGTTCTGTATCATTCCGTTTATGTATGTTTCCAATAACAATTTCTTTGACATTTCCTTTTATTGTGGTATGACAAAATGCAACAAATCTTCACATTTTTGGTACGAAAAATGTTGTACCGAGAAATTTCTTTCTTTTTGAAATTCTGCACTGTAAACAACCTTGAATCTCAGATAATGGGCTGAGATTGCTTTTTTTTAGTGGTAAAAGCGATGACCGTAAGAAAGGAAATATATTCTACCTGACCAGACATCGAAGGATGCATCGATTTATATCATCCTCTTTAGTTCTTACTCCGCCATCCAGTCGAACAGCACACAGGCAACTGTCAGCCGGGATCCAGTTGAGAAATGGTCTTTTTACCCCGTGGCTGATTGTTATATTATCGCCTAAATGCCCATTAGGATTGGTTGTCATATTCTCAGTTATTCGAAGTGTGAATCACGTAAACACAACCACGTCCATGTGAGGTCAGGTGAATGACCACATATATCCCATTTATATTTTTAAGAAACGGGACTCCATATATCAGAATTCCAACTTGTTTAACTTGAAAAAATGTACAGACATTAATCACTCTCGTTTGCAGTTCGAAGTGCCATTTATAGAGACCAGCTGCGTTATTTCTTGAATTTGAATTGATATCATGGGCTGCAGAGCTCAAAGGAGTTGATAATAGTCAAAGCTTATTAGAATGAAGAAAGTTTTAAAGACAACTTTTAAGGTGGGTATTGAACGAAATCAGTGTTTCATCATTATTAAACGAGGTAATTGTGATATTGATTTTCCAGTCTCACGTATTGTCAGCTTTCAATTTATACAGTTTATTGAAAACCTGGAGCACCATGGTAGAATACAATTCTGTTTTAGTTGATTTATTTGATGTATCACGCAGTTGAACAGCATCACTTACTGGATTACGTTTCAGACACAATACTGATCCACCGTGTGTGACATAATAAATCAGCTAAGATGAAATTATTGAAAACCCCTAAATAATGTCATGGACAGATGTAATCTCGTTCAAATATGAGTTACATGGGTTATATAAGAGTAAAACTTGGTAGAGTAGAGTATTATTCCGTATTAGATTGTTTATTTGATATGGCACACTGCTGCAGTATTACTTAATACTGCATAATTTTACATCACTATGTGTCAGATCAAATAATCTAGGATGGGTTATGTCTTGACTTATGTTGGAAATCTGAAAATTGTAATACGTATGTTTTTTCGTTACTTTTTCTTATGGTTCTACGAATAGTCCTATTAGGTGAAGACGCTGACAAAATGCAGTCTTCTGGACACATTGAGTGGCAATTTAAGGTTGTTTGGGATGCGTTCCTTGTTACTCAGATGAAAAGTGTTTTTGTAGGACTGGTCTGTGTTAGTATGTCGCCCACCACTCGGGTGTGAAGTGACTGATAGCATTGACTACTTCACTTACTTGGGAAACCAGATCAGCCCTGATGAGTCGGTGACCGACGAAATCTCCTTACGGATACAAAGGGTTCGATTGGGTTTTTCCAGCTTACGCTATTTATGGAACCACCGTAATAGCCGATTGCATTTTAAGGGAAAATTGTGCCATACCATATTTTCCCGACCGAAGGCTGCTATCTTAGCGTAGTGGTTGGGCTGATGAGCTATGCTGGTGAGAACATTTTTTCCTTGAGGTCGCACCGTGCCAGAAAAATCTATTGGATAGTGTGAAGACGAAAAGCAGTTGTCGTTATAGCGTAAATAGCTACACTATGATGAGGGTCCTGGGTGTCTGAATAGGGGTGTGGCAACAATACGGTGTTCCACGTGGATGACCAGCATTTCGTACCGCTACTGCCTTCCCTTGGGAAGAGGGGAGTGAGGTAGAAAACGTTGGTCCTCAAAATAGCACACTCCTCCTTGCTCTGTATTCTTCCGATGTCGGCATTATGGGTTTTTCCTATCCGGCGTTAAAACAACCAATTGTCAAACCAAAAGTCCTCAAAACTGTGTGGCAGACCTCAGGTAGGTGTCACATGGCCTTTGTGGCCATATCTTTTTCTCTTTCAGGTACGCTGCTGAAATAAATTCTACTGTATGGGCATCCGAGAAGCATCGACCACTTGCACGTTTCCAGTAGTGTACAAATTCCAATCAAGCATCACCTATCCAGGTTACCTCGGTCTCCTACTTTGACTTTATTTTCTGGTGCCAATATAAAGCCTCTTACAACTTCCTCAGCTTCCCACTCTGTGATCATTGCGGATGATCCAAGATATCGAAACGTCATTCCTTGTCTCCTAAGACCCCACTACAGATTTCAAAATGATACTTTCAACGTTGTAACTGTATGTCAAATTGAAGAACAAGCATTGCTCACCGGAACTCTTGATCATAGAGTTATGGATGTATGTTGTATTTCTGGGACACGTATATAAGACTCAGGTGTGGTTATTAAGTTGACCTCACTTGGCCATTGTGGCTAATCTTTAAACTTCATCTTATGAGTATCCGGAGACCCGTTAGCTTTCATGGACTTACTGTGTAGGCATGACACTAAATAGATCGAAAAGTGTTTCTCAGTTTGGTGTCAGTCAACAATCGTCCGTGTTTTCTCAGACTGAATGGAGCTGTAAGAACTGGTAAGGATCGTGACACTCGTACGCGCCTCTTCGTAATTTCCACCTACGCGCCAACCGACTGCAGTTTGGATGATGAGAAGGATGCATTCTATGAGAAGCAGTTAGCATTGAACCACACCTATAGGTTGAAGGCTAATGGTATTACGTGTCTGCCTATATTTCGGCAGGTAGGGCTAAGTTTGAACCCACTATCCATCGGTCGGAAATCGAGTGGTTAGACCGATGAGCTTCAACTCCACTGTAACTTATACATGTTGATGAAAGAGGCTTGCGATAATCGTCAGTTTCTGAGGTCAAGGTACATGAAGCGGAGTTAGGTGACTTGAAGGTGAGTGAACCGTATAGTTTATTAGATTTGAATACTTATACAATCTCGAAATATATCAGTGACATTTTCGTTTCAAAATCAGTGCTGTGACCGATTTATTTTTCTTAAAGTATGCAAGGAAGTAATCTTACACACATTTTCCTTATGTCGTCATTAGTCTATGTGATTTTGTGTTTATTTTCAACATCAGGTTTTTTAAATACGCTTTCATTGGAAGTGTTCATACGAAACCTGTTGGATTTATGTCATGTCATCATGCACGTGAATGACAATGAAGTGCTTGTAAATTTTAAACTGCTACTCATTGGCGATAGTGGAGTTGGGAAATCAAGGTTAGTACTGTTTTTATTCGATAATTATTTAATACTGTGTAGCTTGTTATTGCGTTATACTAACGATTGCTTCGAAAGCCAGTTGTCTGCAACCATTGGTAAGTTTATTAATCAATAATTTATCCATACATTTGGTACGAGGTGTGGATTTCAAAGTCAAACTTGTTACAGTTCCTGATGGGACGAAGATAAAGCTTTCTATCTGGGTGAGTATATATATATATTTCTAGACTTTTGTTTGTGACACAATTTGTACATAATTCTTAGAACCCATTACATTAATCATATGTGTTTCGCAGCGTTGAAATGCAAAGCGCTGTTACAAAGTTATCAGCAGCGCGATGAATCTTTGGAATTAGTCGAAAAGTTTGTTTATTCGGGTAATTGTGTGTGGGGGCGTGACTAAGGAGGTTCCTAACCGTGTGTTGATCCAGATCCCCTAGTGTATGATCATGAGTTTAGCCTGTCTGTGAAAGGTTTGGTATGCAAGGCGTCAGTGTGAGCAATTTAGTTCTACGTCTGTGAATCCTGGCCTCTTTGAGTTTTCGACTACCATTGTCTCCATAAGATTGCTGGCATCTGGTGAAATTACCACGGAATTAATTCTCTGGTAAGGAAGCGTGTGTTTGACTGATGGAGATCGTCATTCACCGAGTGTTTTCATCTTAAAACTCCGGCTCCGGTGTCTTGAGCATGTGTTACGAATGTCGTCCCAGCGGCGCTCATACCACTCAGTGTTCACCTGCGCTGAGACTGGTTAGAAAAAGCGGAGAAGTGATCAGTGTGTGACATGGCACCGCGGGGTGAGAGTCTGTTCCGTTCAGTTAGCGTCTGTTGGTGTCTCAATACTCTGTGGGGAGGTGATCTGGGCAACCATGCAACTCAGAGGTTTAAGATAATTATAGATATCCATGAGAATTGAAACCAGTGGCTATTGTATAGCTTTCTTGTATTCTGTATTGACGTAAATAGAACATAAATACAATAAATGCCTTTGAAAACGTATCCTATGGAAGTGATTGTCTGATCGCCTATTTCTTTTCGTCTACCTACTTTTGTTCTTGGCTGCATACTGCAGGTATATTACTTTATTTAGGGAGTTTATTGCTACCCATGTTGTACTGAGTTTGTACATGAAATAATAAATAATAGTAATGACGGTTAATTCTGAGGGTTTGAGCCACTAATTAATCTTCTAAAGCAAAACTTCCAACCAACCGTATTAGTTGTATGGGACGTAATGACAAACAAGCAAATAAACCTAGAACTTGGTACAGAACTGCATCAGTTTAAGCTACCAGACTTCACAACAGCATGCAAAGAAGTGGACAAAAAAGAGTGATATTAGAGTAGACGAAGGAAGGTAAGAGTTGCAATAATAGATCAATGAAAGTTAAGGAAAATACTCAAGACTTCCAGGATGACAAAAGGTGTATACATACGCGATATTGCCACCAGTTTTCAGCCATATTATCAAGAGTCTGGAACCACGGATTCTTATTATACACCTTCCTTAGGGTCTCACACCAACAGTCAGATAATTCATAGACTGCTACTACATCTTGACTTGGCTGTCTCCTACCTTCTTCCAACCTAATCCTGTTTTGGTTAACATTGGACGTTGATGTACACATTGGCTCGGCAGGTGCAACACATGTCTAAGTCATTTTCATTGGTGAAGGCTTACAACTTCATTGACTGACTTGCTTTCATTGCCTAGTGCCTTTACTTGGCCTCAATATTGCTCACACGATAATTCCATCACATGCGAAAAATGCTATAGAGAAACCTGTAGTCGATAAACTGTGACTTCTTCATACCTACTTTCAGTGGCCATGCCTCACAGTAGACTGTTGAACAGTAACGAAGCACTAGCAGTTACTTTCCCTTAATCAGGAGTGACAACTCTTTAGTCTTATACTAAAAAACAGCGCACAACTACACTTTATGCATACCTAAGTCCCTGGTTACTCGTAACTATGTACATTGCCAACAAGTTCTTAAGTAACCGAATGAAAATAAGTTGCTCTATATTTTGATAAATTCTTATTAGAAGTATTTAACTATTTTTATGAGGCTCTAGTATGATTTACAGACAGTCACTAAGTGATTGCATTTCAAATAGATGACAAATCGATAAGACTGTGATATATAGTGCTAGGATATGAACGATATTTATAGTGGGTTAGCATGTTTTCGTGGTTTACAACCCCTTGGATGGGCTCTTAAGGGATATATATAACAGTACAATGCTCCGACGCGATGCGACTAACGATAGAACAATGACTTCTGAACTCGATACTCAGTTGCCACCAAAAGAAGACGATGGAATTCGAAGTATATTTACTTCAACCGAAATATAATAGCTGAAAACTCATCTTAGATGACCTTGATCAGAGAAAACAAAATAGCGTATTCAAAGTGTAAATGAATCAATCAGCTTTTAGTATCCTAAACTGCAGTAACATAGCCTGGCGCAAAAAGGGAGCGAAAATAAGGTTTAAACTTTACAATGATAATGTAAAGATATTATAAGTTAGTTTTCTTAGGGATTAGGGATCCCTAACAATGTACACTTTTAAATCAAAGCCAGTGACGACCGTATTGTAGACTCTCGTTTGTTTTCACGACATTATCAAATGTTTTGTATACTTTCTCGTTGGATTCTTCTCTTGTTCTTCTTTTAGAACTTCATCTTCAAAATTCCTATCGCATTATTTTATACACACACATTTCTTCTGTAACCAATAACATACGTATTAATGATGGATCGTGGCTAGGAGTGGAATCCAGGATGCGCATTTTGTCCTATTTGGGACTCACTGGTCAGCTGGATTTACCTGCTTCCCAGTGAGTGATGTTGTTCCCACCGGGATTCGGACTCGGGAGCGATTGCTTCAAACTCCAGGGCGTTATCCACTACACCACCGATCCACGATAGCCACTTCTTGTGCGACGGGTATAGTTTTAGTATAATTGTTTTTATATGACACCATCGTTGCTTGGACCGAATTGATCGGTCTCTAATGGCATATGGTCCAAGCAACGATGGTATCATATAAAAACAATTATACTAATTACATACGTATTTTTAGTTTCCATCTTTTATTAGTATTCGTTTTGGTGTTGAGAAGAAGGATAGCTGGGGCTGTTGAATTTTTTATGGTGTTCTAATTTGCTCCATTTATCTAAATTATTCCTTTGGCAAAGCATTGTGTACTCATTCAACTACCTGAAAAAAAAGGATTATTATGTTTATCATTTTGCCTATCTGAGATAGCAGTGGTGTTTGGTAGACTGGTGTTGATACTGGGTGATGATGATTGAAGGTCAAATGAAAATTTGAACTGCGACCGAATTCGAACCAGGGACCATGGGGTTTCCGACCCAGTGCTCTACCAACTGAGCTACGCATCACAAATTTACATGGTAGTCGGGTAAAACCCATCTTGGTGATGAAAGTGAAATAATCTGGTGAGGAGTTAGACCTCATAGCTCAGATGGTAGAGCATCAGCCCAGAAATCCGGTGGTCATTGATTCAAATCCGACCGTAGTCTAAATTACACTATTTAAGTGAACCATTATTTTGTCATAATTACCATATGGGTAAGCAAACACATAGAGTAACAAAGATAAGTGTTACTCATTGTGATGGCTATAAGGTGTGTGTCTTAATGAAGATATAAAACAGGATGGATATAGAAAACGCAATATCAATGTTATTTTTTTCACCACAACGTACAAATACCACAGCCTGTTTGGTAACTTGAATATGTTAGTCTTCAGTAACTTGAAAGTATTAATTATTTTATATCTGAATTTAACACTAGCAACTATCCATCATCAGTAAATCATTTGAGAAATAAGAAATGCTAATAGTTATCATCTTTATTTCGTATTTCTTAGACGACACTATTTTTTTCTTTTTTTGTAAAAAGTTTGTCTTCTGAGACATTTTTCGAGATAAAAGAATATTGTGTTCATCTCTTCATTTCTATAATATTCAGTTAATTGACTGTAGTTATTACAATAGATGAATATATTCAAATTGACAAAGATGGTGGCCAGTGTTATGGGGAACCGAAAAAAGTGAAAAATTTAGAAGATTTGTGTTACTTTTAAATGTATATTATCTGGTTTTTAACAAATTTTCTTTGTTCTTTTTTTCAATAGGATACTGCTGGTCAAGAACGATTTCGTACTTTAACGCCTAACGTTTATCGTGGTTCACATGCTGCTGTTTTTGGTGAGTTTCAATTTTTCTAAGTTCATGTATTTTGTTTAAATTTTATTTTAACTTTATATTTTATACTTTCACAATTATTTATCAACTTCAAGTTGGTTTTCATTATAGACTGATATCAAATAAAAGAAAATTGAAAACATGGGAGCATTAGACAGTTGTTTCATCCTAGTATGGGACTCGTCAGCAGTGCGCACCCATTACCGCGTCTCATTGGCTGTATGGCAACGTGCTGATCACGAGATCCCCAACCGATAGCTGCTACCTTGACGTGGTGGTCGGGCTTGCATATCACAATGACCCAACGAGCTATGCTGGTGGAACACTTGTCCCCTCGAGGTCCTACCATACCAGAAAGGCTTGTTGGATAGTGGTTAGACGAAAAGCAGTTACCGTTGTGGTGTAAATTACTACACTATGATGGGGGTCTGAGGGCGAAGTCGTACTGCTACTAGCTGATTGGGTTGTGACAGCAGTAAGGTGTTTCCCTTGGATAACCAGCAGTGCCATGCTGATGCTGCCTTCTCAGTGGAAGGGTGGGGTGGGGTTATAAAAGGTTAGCCCCAAAAATAACATCATACCCCACGGTCCACCAGGTTGGCGGTGTTGGTTCATTTGTCGTTTCCTTTCGACCATCCGGCCCCAAAAATACAGAAGTTCAAGATAATCATACTCAAAAGGCTACGTGTGATAGGCCTCCAGCAGATGTCCGTTGGGCTCTGTGGTCACACAAATTTCTTTCGGGTACCTTAAGAAGAAACAGCCTTCCACAGTGTGGGCAGCCGGGAAGTGTCAACCACCGTCACAACTCGATCAGCACTCAAGTTTCTTCAGACTGTTATCCACCTCCCCGATCATTACCTAATCTTCCTTCACGTCTCTCAACTAACGATACTGCATCATCTTCAATTTCTCCTAGCTCTGCAGCCTTCGGTAACGATCTGAGTTCACAAAACAGTATTCTTGGTCTCCTTAAACCACGCTCCAAAGTACATATTGGAGCCTTCAATGTCCGCACCTTCCGTCAAATTGGTCAACAGACTTCGTTGGCAAAGACTCTAGCAACTCGGGCATGGATGTGTGCTGTGTTTGTGAAACACACATACAGGACCCAAGTGCAGTTATTCACCTAATCTCTCGCGACCAATCTGGTGAATCGGCAAAATTCACCCTTCGAGTTTCTGGAGATTCGATAGCTAGCTCTCGTGGTCTTGCAGGTGTAGGTATATCATTAAGCACCAGGGCAGAAAACTCACTACTAGACTGGATCCCAGTTGATAGTCGCCTCTGCGCTATGAGACTGAACGGCACAGTGAGAACTAAAAGGAATAGTGAGACTCGCCGTTGTCTCTTTGTAATCTCTGCTTACGCACCCACTGACTGTAGTTCGGATGAAGTGAAGGACGAGTTCTACCATAAACTGTCTAACCTCCTCTCGAAAGCCAAACGTTCGAACCTGGTGGTTGTTGCAGGTGACCTCAACGCACAGGTGGGTAGACTGAGTGAGGCAGAAAGGCACTTAGGTGGCACTTTCGGAATCCCAGCTGAACGTACAGATAACGGTGATCGCCTATTACAACTATGCTCAGATAACCGCCTATTTTTAGCCAGCACAAATTTCAGACATAAAGAAATACACTGTCTGATGTGGCGTCCACCGAGCTCAACCCAGCGATGGACACAGACCACATTGCTATTGGTCATCGCTGGAGAGGATCGTTGGAAGACTGCCGCTCCCTCTGGAGTATGTGTTTGAATAGCGACCATGCGTTGGTCCGAGCCCTTATATGCTTGCTTCTCAATGGATGTAAGAAATATTTGGCAACGAAACCACTGTGAGTGCTGCTGGACAAGGAAAACACCAGAGCCGTGTTCAGTGAGAAGTTGGCTAAGCAGTTATCAGAACAGCAGACTATCACTCGTCTAGAAGAAGGTTGGTGCCATCTTGAGTCTGCTGTAAAAGCAGCACTGAAGACCGTAGCCGACTCGTAAATAGTGGCTAAAAAGAGGTAGTGGATATCAGTAGCTTCTTCCGAACTAATAGATGCACGTGAGCGCACCCTTCATGCTCTGAGTACAATGAAGAGCGAGCGCAACTTAAGAGTAGATTGAGGAAAAGTTTGCGCCACGACCGCGAACAGTGGTGGTCAGCGAAGGCTAAATAGGTGGGAAGGGCAGTGGCGATTGGTAATAGTTGAGAGTTATTTATACTTATTAGTGAGACTGGGGGGAAAAGGTCAACGACAGTTAGTGAGGCTGTGGCGGAGAAGGAAGGGTCTGTGATTCACACTCAGGGGAAACGACTGAAATAATGGGCAGAACACTTAAAGGAACAGTTTAACTGGCCTCCAGCGACGATTGCGTTGCGGGCTATCCAGTCGGATCCTGAATGGGACACTGAGATATGCCCGCCAACACTAGGAGAAGTGGAGGAAGCAGTAGGTAGCCTGAAACGAGGAAGGGCAGCAGGAGGACGAGACGGCCTACCTGCTGAGGTATACAAGGATGGTGATAGAGTGCTGTTAGTCAGGTTGACGAAAGTGTTAATCGGTATATGGGAATGAAATACGATCCCTTCTGACTGGTCTAAATCACTGATTATCCCATTCTCCAAGAAAGGTGAGAAGTCGTTTTGTGATAACCACAGAGGAATCAGTCTGACGAACAATGTATCCAAAATCCTAGGTTCTATAATTCTCCGACGCCTGATTGGAGCTCGGGAACAGCAAGCCCGAGAAAACCAGGGAGTCTGTAGACCTTGGCACAGGTGTATTGACCAAATATTCACACTGCTCCAGGTCCTGGAACATAGGCATGCTTACAGACGCCCGACAATAGCTGTATTTCTCGACCTGAAGGCGGCATTTGACTCCGTTGATCGAGAAGTCTTATGGCAATGTCTGTCACTGAAAGGCGTGCCTAGTAAGTACATCACCTTATTGAAAGCTCTCTACTCGAACACTTGTGGGCATGTTAGAGCCTATGGTGAGTTGTCCAGGGAGCTATACTCATCAAGTGGTGTCCGTCAAGGATGCCCACTATCCCCATTCTTATTTAATTTTATCATAGATATTCTTATGGAGGTTTCCCTCTCGTCACCTAATTACAAGACGTTGACCCAATCACAGGTGAATTTTTTTTAGATCTAGAATATGCAGATGACATAGTCCTGTTAGGTGAAGACGCTGACAAGATGCAGAGTCTTCTGAACACTTTGAGTGGGAATTTGAGAATGTTTGGGATGCGATTTTCACCACCCAAATGCAAATTTTTGCTCCAGGACTGGTCTTCAGCGGTACCGCGGTTAACAATAGAGAGTGAAGTGGTTGAGTGTGTTGACCACTTCACTTACCTGGGAAGTAGGATCAACCCGGTGGGTTAGTTGCCGATGAGATTTCTGCACGGATACAAAAGGCTCGATTGGCTTTTGCCAATTTGCGCCACCTATGGCGCCGCCGTGATATTCGTTTGTCTATTAAGGGTCGCGTGTACTGCACAGCAGTCCGCTCTGTTCTACTGTATGGCTGTGAAACATGGCCATTGAAAGTGGAAGATACAAAAAGGCTTCAGGTGTTTGACCACCGTTGCCTTCGTAGTATAGGACGTATTCCGTGGTGTCACCATGTGAGTAATGCAGAAGTTAGGTGTAGAGTTTTGGGGAGAAGAGGTAAGTCAGTCGACGAGGTTGTGAACCTTCATCGACTGAGATGGTTGGGACACGTACTACGTATGCCTAGTCACCGATTGCCTCGTCACACAATGTTGGCTGAGGTGGGTCCAGGCTGGAAAAAGGCCCGAGGTGGCCAGACTAAAACATGGCACCAATGTATGAAGTCTCTGACTGTTGGTTTAAGCCATGTAGGACGATGCAGACTAGGTGGTTGGGGTTGGCGGGACAAGAGGAACCAGTGGTTGGAGACCCTAGGTGATATGGCTCAGAACCGAAGTCAGTGGCGCAGATGTATACACACATTATCCTCATCTTAACAACGCTATACCGAATCTCACTATTTTGTCACTCCTCTTTCCTTTCTTCTCGTACTTTATATTTCTTTTGACTGCATTCACTTATCTTCATCCTTCACCTCACTACCTTTCTACTTGGTGAACTGACGTGAGGTGTGGCAACTCGGACCGTTACGCAGTAATGCCTGGTCCTATGTTGATAACGATGATGGTCACGAGATCTTAAGGTTCTGAGTTGGGGGGAGGCACTATACAAAAACGGATTTTAAAACTTTTCCACTAAAGTTTCATGTTCACCACTTTTTTTATAATTGTTTTACAAAACTTTAACCAGCGACCGAAATCAGTGGATTGATAAATGCATAACATGATTGTTTTGTTATTTCTTTCATCGGTGACTGCTATCTCAAAGCGTTTGTCAAGCTTACCAAGATGTATATTCTCTGTTTTCTCATCACATCATTGGGAGTGATGATGAGAAAATAGTGAAGCTAAGCGAAGTAGACGTCACTGTTGTATTCAGCAGAAAGTTTAGTTACATTTTTGATTGTTGTGTTGTTATTCCTGTTAACTAACATCTGTAGAAATTAGCTGGAAGAGGAAGTTAGTGGAGTTATGCCATAAAACATACTTAGCTTCTTTTATATTACTGTTTCTGGTAATGTGATGGTTATTGTTTTTGAGAAATGAGAGGGAATCATTGAGAGAAATAGTTCTTAGTTCTTATAAATGAGTTGTGTGAGGTAGATGGAACTTACAATCTTTGGTTGGACAATCAATCCACCAATAACCTGAAAACGATCATTCATTGTCCATTGCACACAAAAAGCCAGTCGATGTCACTTGTTTGTAGTGATAGTGGAGACATCGTCAAACTGTCTACCATTCAAACGTCTAGTCTATTTTGAAGATTGGATATATGTGATAGAAACAGTAGTCTCTTTAGTTTGATTATCTCTATCTAAAGATGAAAGTCAACATCCTCGGATTCTGATGCTTCATCCTCAAGTTCACTGTGACGAGTTTCCGCCATTGTATGCACAGTCAACCGTCACTGATGTTAATCAGTAGAATCTTACAAGTCTTACCGAAACAAAGTGCTGAGATAAGTCCCCCACAAGGCGAACGGTTGTTTGACATTGTGATTCCGTTGGTGATGAGACCTTATGATCACTTTGTTTAGTATGTTAATAACTAGTGATATGCCTTGTTAACTGATAAACCCTGTCAGGCATAAAAACTGTTGAAACTCTGTGTTAACCTGCAATCTGATTGTTGGTGAAATTGCAGGTTGGTAGTTATTCTTGGAAAACTATGATATAGCTATGTGATCGGTAGATACTCTGCACACAGTTCATCCAAATCTGATATCTCAATTTTCTTAATGTTAACATTTTACTGTAATCTTTGTTCACGACTAGCTGTGTTATATAAAACTGTGGGAGAAATACTACTGGCAGTGAGTGAGTGAGTGAGTGAGTGAGTTGAGTGGTAATGAGAAGATTGGGAACTTTTGAGGTGTTTTCATATGAGAGAGGCACCCATGTGTGAGGCGCTTCCTATAGGATTCTCAATATGGTTGAGATTAGATTGATGCTTAAATGCACACGCTGATCCAAAAGGAATATGTGTAGACTGAAATGTGTGATCAGATTGTTCGAAATGTATAGCGCTAATACATCACATTTTTCAGTAATCTACGTCTTCTAATTACATTATCGAAATGACCCTGTTTAACCAATTCGACGAAATGATTTGGTGTACGAATGATGATTGTGAGGTTGAATACATCAGTAAGAGTAGTAGTTGATCAGTTAGTGTCATTGAGTATTGTGAGCATAGAAAGTGAGATGAATACGAATTGGTAAACCTTATTGAGATGAGAAATGTATAGACAATGTCGCCTAGATTTATTCACCCAGACGGACAGAGAGACGCACAATTACACAATGAGATAGGGTGGAGTGTCAGTTGTGAAAAGTAACTTATACGTATGGAGAGAGGTAGGTTGGTGTCGGAATGTTTGTGTATCGAAGGCTCACTGTAAAGACACTGGGAAATTATGCTGTGTAAAGCATAAAAGAGGAGATGGAAGTAAAACTGTGTAAATCATGTTATGAGGTTATCTTGGCAAATTGTGTTATGTGTGTTATGCAGTGAGTAATGAACACTGTTTGACTATGTGATGAATGTGATTAGCAGACTATGTTGGAAGTGTTTTGCTCTACGATAGTGTCTAATTTCTGCCTGAGTCAATATTGATATGAATTATTGTGAAGTCGACTGACTGTGTTTTCATGTAGTTGTCAGTATGATGGAGACTGGGGCATCACAACAGATACAGACTTTACACTATGAAAATGCATACTTACTAAAAGCTCATATGACGATAAGTCTGAGTATTCTTAATGATAGATAGTGGCTAGCAGTGGAATGGAGATTGATGTGCGGTTCATCTTATTTGGGACTCACTAGTCAGCTGAATGTACCTGCCTCTCAATGAGTGATATTTTTCCCACTTGGACTCGAACTTGGGACTGTTTCCTCGAAACATCGGAGTGTTATCCACTAAACCATCGAGTCACGATAGCCACTTCTTTTGGAATGGTTGTAGTTTTAATGTTGTTGCTTGTGCACTCAACGACGGGATAATGCAGACAACAACAACATTAACTCTGAGTATTGTAAAACTGTGAAAGCTTTAGAGATCTAAAGAGTATTGACAGTCGATAATAAAGAAGAGGTAATTCAGCGAAGAAAATTTTCTTTTTCGACGATATCATTTTCCATAGCTGTACATTCGTATTTATATATATCATAAACATAACAGTCTATGATAAAACAATAGGGTATAATTACATCATTAATTTAGTGCTAAAAAACCGGAATCAAGAATATAAAGTAGTTGCATCAGGCAGTTAGAAAACACCTAATCACCCATAGCTTATTGGATTCCTTCGAATTTGTCAACTCGATTATTAATGTCAATATATCCGGTATGCGAATGATTTCTCTGGACGCGTTCTCGCTCTTCACCAATATCCTACTCACGGAAACTATCTTTTTTCTATGTGAGTTCATTGAAGATAATAATTTTCAAGTGAGTATCTCAAATCACTATTTAAAGGAATTGCTTCTAAGATATACTTTCCATATGCAGTTCAAATTCAATAATAATCTATGTAGACAAAAGGATGGGGTTGCTATTGGATCGCCACTTGGACAGTTGCTGGCTGATTGCTTTATGGTGAGGCGAAGCTAGAGAATAGTGTTCTGCATTCAGCAATTGATAGTGTCTACGTATATAAAAGATATATGGATGATACATTCATCATAATTGATCAAAATACAGATATTGAGACTGTAGTTAAAACGTTGAATGATTTCCACCCGTCGATCAACTTCACATCAGAATTTGAAGAGAACTCAGAATTCCATTTTCTCGATATTTTATTGAAACGGAGACCAGATGGTTCTCTTCAGCGATCAATTTATAGGAAGCCTACATGGAACGGATAATATTTGAATTTCCATAGCTGGAGGCCTCTCAGCAGAAAGTGGAATCTAATCCATTCTTCATCTTCAAGAATCAGAAGAATCTGCACGAGTGATGCTATCGACGAAGAATTAGATAAACTACGGAAGATCCTCATGCAAAATGGATATCCATCCAGATTTATCGATAAGAACTTGAAAGTAAGTCAGAATACGGAGCGAGTACTCACAGTTCCTAAGAAGACCTTGTTTATGAGCGTTGTTTTCAGAGGCGATACGGCAGCAGAGATCCTGAAGAATCGGCTGTCCAGATCTCCGAAGAAGACATTATTCTCTGCGAAGCTGCAGATTAGCTTCTCCAGTCAACAACTCACTCCAGAGTGCGTTAAGGACAAGTTGCCACTTTGAGCCACCTCGATATGTGTCTACAAATTTACTTGCTCCTGTGGAGCTAGTTATATAGGCCGCACAAAGCGCACGCTTTCCAAACGTATCTCGGAGCACTATTCTGCATAGTTGTCGAGGGGAGAATGTAAATCAATTAACAGTTCAATTCTTGAACATTTGGTCAACTCTGGATATAAAGCTAGACCAGAATCCTCCTTCAGTGTCATTTATCGTGTCAAATGGAATAGTTCGAAAGGAGTACACCTTCGACAGTTGTGCACAGTGGAGGCACTGGCAATTCATCAATTCAAGCCTGATCTCTGCGTGCAAAAGAAGTATGTTCAATCTCTCTTCTTACCATGGTCTTAACACTCACTTTTTTTTCTATTTCATTATAATTAATTGGTTTATTATTATCACTTTCATTATGATCCTTGTCTCATTCTTCACCTTCTTTACATCTGTCTATCAAGTGGAGACTCAATATTTGCGTTTCTTATCTACCAACAATTTTCATCTTGTCGAACTCCTTGCCTTCCTCGGTATTTCTACTGTCTTAGTTTATAAAACAACTACTTTGCATTCCTGATTCCGGTTCTTTAGCACTGTGTTAATGATGTAATTATACCCTATTGTTTTATAATAGACTTTTTTCATATATATATATATATATATATATATATATATATATATATATATATATATATATATATATATATATATATATATATATATATATACGAATGTACAGCTATAGAAAATGATATCGTCGAGAAAGAAAATTTTCTTCGCTGAATTATCTCTTCTCTATGACTCAATGGGCATGTTTCGTAGTCGATAATAAGCTTTATATACTCCAGTTAATTGTAGATATGCATGAAGATAAATCGATGGTTAAGGCAGTAACATTTCATTTATTGATGTGAAATATCGAATTGAAGTCGAAATCCACTCAACAACTTTGTACACATTTGTCTAGTAGGTAACCAACCACACCTGTTGAGTGAAGGTTAATACTAATACTATTACTTGATTGTCCAAACTTTGGCAGGTGGAATATCGGGGCGATGGGAGGGGGGTGGGTGCTCAAACCCACGACCCATTGGTTGAAATTCATCTCGGTAAACCAAAGAGTCATAGATAGATTCCTGATTTCTATACTGTCAACATTTGAATGATTTGTGAATAGTTGGTAACAGAATCTTCTTTTATTCTCTTTACAGATATCTAGATGTAGGGGAATCAAGAGAATATTCTTAGTTTAGTTTTATAATGTTTCAATTTATAGACCTATTTATTAGTGTCTTTTAGTAGAAAATTTAAAAATATTCTCCCTGTTATTGTAAAGATTTTCATTCAGTTTACTTTACCTTGTAATCAGTATACGATGTATCAAATCGTGAAAGTTTTGAGCATCTTTCTAGTTGGATGGAAGAGTTGAAAACTTATGCAGACAATCCAAATATGGTAAAACTTCTAGTTGGCAATAAAATTGATAGTGTAAGTTGTTGTTATAGTGTATTCCATTGACAGTTAGTTATCTGGTCTCTTTTAATAATTTTATTATTATTATTATTATCATTTATCCCTTGGGTTCCTAGTGGAACATAGGGCTTCAATGACACGTCACCATTTCACTCTCTTCTCTGCAATCTTTTGAACCTGGCTCCACAACTGACCACAAGCTTTCATTTCCTCCTCACACCATCTCCTCCATATCACCCTCACCTCGGATGCCCAACTCGTCGTTTCTCATACGAGTTCTACTCAACGGCCTGGCCTGGCACGAAATGTTCCCAAACCGTCTTCCTTCTCAGTGTATGGCCAATCCAATCCATCTCCACTCTCTTCTTCTGCACATTTGTTAGGCGATAAGTTTTTGGTTGGTTCGTTGTCAACCAGTCAGAGTGAATTGCTTGTTGCTTATTCTTCAGTGTGGAGTGAGCGCAGGTGGCAGCTGTTGTTTCATGCATGTTTGTAGTTTGTTGGGAATACTTTTCGTAAGGTGCCAAGTCTGTGAACCGTCATATAGAAGCACTGACTTACTTGACTGACACTAGTGTTGAAAATCCGGATGTTGTTCACAATTTATGCTGAGTGGTGTGCAGTGCAGTACATCTCCAATTTGACACCGTCATGTGTGCCAGAACCGCCACGTGTAGTTGAGACGATGCTGGCTGTGTAGATGAGAGGGAGAACTTTGTTTAGATTTCCCCCGTTGATGGTAATTGTTACTTGTTGTAGGTGTTGTTGGTTGGGTATCTTCATCACCTGTGTCTTCTGTATGTCCACCTGAAGTCAGTGCCATCTTCCTTCGCCGTCCCGCCTCTTCTTTCAACTTGTTAGTCTTCGTCTGTGAATAGATTTTCGAGTTTGTGAGAGAAGACATTAGACATAGATCATGATCGGTGGCGAAATCTAAATCTTCTAGGCTATTTTCATCTGTCCAGCCAGCGCATGCCCATCTTCTCGCTCCTCACGACTTGCTGCATCATCCAGTCCAGTCGACCACAATCAGGAAGATTATGGGTGATGGTAGGTGGCAGCTTTGTCTTACTCCGGTCTTCACTTCAATGGCGTCGCTGAGCTTTCCATTGTGAATCACTTGGCATGTAGGATCTTCATACAGCTGTTGAATGAGATTGATAAAGGTTTGTGGTATTCGGTAATGTTGAAGCAGCAGCTGCCAAATCACTTTGTCGGTCGACGTTGTCGATGGCCTTTTCAAAATCGATGGGGTTTTTGAGACGACTGCCATTCTGCGCTCTGTTCTGTGATGATGCGTAGTGTAGCGTTGTAATTTGGTTCGCACATGATTTGTACTTTCTAAAGCCAGCCTGTTCCTGTCGTAATTTTGAATGCAGCGTATCTTTTAGTCCGTCCAGGATGATGCTGCATAATATTTTCCTTGGGTCGGACAGGGGTGGAGCATGATTCTGCGCCAGTTCTTGCAAAGACTTATGTCCCTCTTCTTTGGAGGCTTGATGAGGTAACCCTTCTCCTAATCGGCAGTTGCCTTTCCTTTCTCCCTTCCTAATCTTCTGGAATAGTGGTGTGAGCATATCCGCTGTTGTCTCTGCGTCTGTTTTCAGTGCTTCTGGTGGAATTCCATCTGGTCCTGCTGCTTTCCTGGCTTTCAGAAGTATTTTTGCATAACTTGGAGAAAGCAGCATTAAAAAAAATATCAACGAAGATATAGGTTTCGCATTGTTTCACAAGTGTTTTAACCGGTTGTTTAAACATTTTGAATAAGAATAGGCTACTATGGTTTTTTTAGAAAATTCAAAATACACAGTTTATCCACACAAAGTTAATCAGCCTACAGTTCTTGCAAATACTAAGTAGGAGAAGGAAAGTGGAGACATTTTCTCGGTTAATTTCATTGGTTCATGCGTGTGTTTAAGAGAATCTTGCAATTCAGGAGGGATTCCACTTTCATCTATCCAATTTAGAAAAGTTTATAGAAGGTTAGGATTGACACCACATCTTTATGATTCTTAGGTCCTTGAACATATTCATACATCAAGCATTATCTAACATCGAACTAAATATGAACTCCTTATATATTACTTCTCAAGTGTGAACCAAACATGAAAGTTTCTTAAACACCTAGGTCGTTCTGTTGTCTTATGATTGACCATACCTGCGTATATTTCAATGAAAATTAGTCAAAGAAGCATCTTGTACACTGATGAAAGAAATCTTTAACAATTAATACGATGTATTTAAAGCAGATGAGAATAGAATTGTTATTGTTATCTTGATTATTTTGAATTGTAGGAGCCTCGAGAAATTCCCCGTGAAGAAGGTCTTCGTTTTGCTCGTCTCTACAATATGCCTTATGCTGAAACAAGTGCTAAAACCAATGAAGGTGTTCATCAATTATTTTGTGAAGTTGTAACAAATATATATAATCATTCTGAATTATGGAATCAAGGTAAAAAACGTGCAGTTTCTGGTGTTACAAGTCGTGCTAATTTAGGTCAATTTCAAGATGAACAATCACAAAGTGGTTGTTGTTCATAACACTACTTACTTGTGTATGTGTGTGTGTGTATACATTTTTTACTCAAATATTGGAAATCCATGACTTCTCTATGATATTACTGATATGTTAATTCCTGTCCTCTTTGAATGCGCATACCCTGTAACCTTATTTATTCCATGTTTTTTTTTGGTATCATTTTATGTCACGGAACTGTACTTTCATATTCATTGCTTCTAGGAATAAAGCGCTATACACCTTTTTGACTGTGGTATACTTGACTACACTGTGATCATATTTTGCAGATATCAACTATTTACCATTGTTTCTTTCTGTTAGATATAAACCATTTTTATTATTCCTATTTTTGTTTCATTGGTTCCATTTTCCTTTTTTTGTTTTTCGAGGGTGTAGAAAGCGACTTTTTTGTTTTGTTTTTTATTTAGTCATTTTAAAAATTGGTTCTTTTTTTTGTATGCATATTCACTTCTGCGTATTCATTGAATTTTGTATCTTTCAATTTTCAATGGTTTGTTGTTTATTTTGATATTGATTACTTTGTGATTTTTTTTTCTAAAAAGAAAAACAAACAAACAAAGTAACATGTTGTTATGTGATCTCTTGTCATTATTGTGTATGGAATTTGTGCAGTCCTACTTATATTTTGTTGATGCTAACACAATTTTACTCATATTTGTTCATCTTTCACTAGAAGAAAGTAAACGCATAATTCATAAAAGTTTCGTATAACTTTGTGTTTTCTAAAGTTGGAATTGTGTTTACCACCGGGTATTGATAAATATCTTTTGACGATTAAAATTATAGTCATACTGTCCAGCAGAGCTTTAGATGGTATATATTAGAGCTGCTGTGTAAATCCGGCATGTTCATTTGAAAATATGCCTTACAACATTGGTAACCAATCAGAATAGTTATTACTCCCCCATCTTAGTATGTCATGTTGAATGATGCATTTTGTGCTGACTGTTTCCTTTATTGGTTTATTGATGTTCATATTCGATGAATTGTTCGTAATTATACTATGTTTTATCATATTGGGTTCTTATTGTCTTTCAATGTTTTGACACATAGATCAGTTACAATTAGCGGGATTTTACATTTATTCATTGGCTGAAATCTGTTTATTCATGCTATAGGATTGAGTGAATCTGATCAACCCTGGTTGTTGAGTGCCCAATGAAATCACTGAAAGGATACAAAGGACTCAATTGGCTTTCGCCAACTTACGCTATCTATTGCGCCACTGCGATATCCCGTTGTCGATTTTAAGGGTCAAGTGAACTGATCTACAGTTGTGAAACATGACCATTAATTGTAGACGGTATGAGAAGGTTTCAGGTGTTTGATCACCATTGCCTTCATAGCATAGGCCATGTGTTGTGTTACCATGTGAGTAGCATAGAAATCAGGTGTAACGTTTTCAGGAGAAGAGGAAAGTCAGTTAATGTGGTTGTGAACCTTCACCGACTGAGATGTCTGGGACATGTGCTACACATGTCTAGTCACCGTTTGCCTCGTGGTATAGTGTTGTTCAGGCTGGAGCGACTAGAATGAAACATCAGATCATTTCATGAAATCTTTCACTGTTAATTTGAGAGAGGTAGGGAGATTCAGACTAGCCAGTTGGAGTCCACATAACAATAGAAACCAATGGTTGGAGACTTTAGGTGATATTGTCTCAGAACCGATCTGAGTGGTTAAGATGTACCCACACCTTATCTTCATCATAACCGACATACTGAATTCAGCATCTCATTCCTGTTTCCTTTTGGATTTGACCGACTTTTGTTTCTTTCTTCATCTTTCATCCTACTACTCTGTTACATGTTGTATTGATATGAGGTGTAGCAACTTGGATAGTTACGTATTTATGCCTTATTGTATGTTGATATTGATTTAATCTGAGAAAACGATGCATGGCTATAGATTTCTCTTCAACTAATGTTTGAAAAATCTTATCGTCATGATTATTTTCTTTTTTAACTTTCAGTGTCTTTGATCCATTGTTGTTAGGGATTACTTCATTTCTCCCTCCGTCTTACCTTTTCTAAACTGTACATCAATGTATTGATCTAAAGTTTTACATGTAATACCAGATCGTATTTTAATTTGATATGTTTGTCTATACAATAGTGCATAACACGTATATTTTCTTTCATAGATATCACTCTTCATTATGAAGGTATACATCGAGTTGTAAATAATTCAATTGTTCTAGGAATTTGTATGTTGGTTGTTATTATCAGAGTTATATAGTGCATACAGTGGAATAAACTAATTTCATAAAAGAAGATATTGTTAATTATTTTATTATTTATAAAAATCTGAAAAATAGTTTCAATAGAATGAATGTAATCAGTATGTGAAAATTAAAAAAAACAAAAACAAAACAAAGATAGCTCAGAAGAAGAAACAGAAATTGAAAAGATTACTTAATTTAGGTATACATTAATGTATGCCAGAGTTGTTTTTTTTAGTGTATTCACCTGGAGACATTTATCATTTAGTATGAAGTTTTATACTAGTGAACTGTCTACTGTTGAAAGCTGAAATTATAAACATTTAATGTATATTGTCAGCATGGAAGGGGTATGAAGTTGTATAGTCATGGTATTAGTAAAAATTGTAAAACATGAGTGAAGACATCAATATTAATGAGTAAAGTATTACACATTAGTATGTACACTGATTCCAGTTATAGTAATAAATAATCAGAATTATACTGTTCACTTGTCAATAATGGATCTTTAGTTGTTACAATAATTGAAGCTTTTCGATTAGAATTCTCAGATGACAATAATGGATGTTTTTGGTCAGATTGATTTTGTTTTGTTATATAATTAGGTCCTTGATAAAAATGACAGGAAACAGGTAACAATAAAATGTTGTGTTTAGTAAAATCAGTTGAAAATTGTATAACTAAATCCTCTCTTCTTCAATGTATTCAAGAGAAAATTTTTACACAACAAAACTATTTAGTTTCCATATAGTAGGAGGGGGGAAGGAATATCCTATCCAAATTCTATATACCTTTATTATTTCAAAAATGACAACTATTTATACCATGTAAGGATATTCTTGATACGGCTTTATCAATGTGTAATGATGATAGATAATGGCTAGCAGTGGAATCCAGATCAACGTAGGTTTCGTCCTGATCGGGACTCATTAGTTGAATGTATCTGCTTCTCAGTGACTGATGGTGTTCATATTAATACTGAAACGCAGAACTCATCGCTTTAAACACCAAAGTATTATCCGGTGAGTCCTGACGTAAGGGGTGGCCTAGTGGATAGCAGTCAGGCGTTTGAAGGGATTGGTTCTGGGTTCGAGTCTTAGTGGGAATAAAATTACTCATGGGAAGGCAGATGGATGCGGCTGACGAATCTCGCATAGGACGAGACGCGCGTCCTGGATTTCGCTGCTAGCCTCTATCTATCATCACTATCAGAAGACATAAAGCCGAGAATATCTAAGCATTCCCACAGCACCCCATATGCCAATAGTAGTCAATAAACAATAAAGATTTTATAAGCTATCCCATCAAAACTATATTGAAAGGGTTTTAGTTTAATCCATTTTAAGCTTATAGTAATGATTTTATTTCTGACTTGTCAGTTGATTATTGATACACATCATCTTTTTTCAGTGAATTTATAAGTTAACATTTTCACTTTTAGGTATTGTTATTAAACTTTGGTTCAATGATTCAGACATTCAATCATCAACATTCCACATATATATTATCAGCATAACAAGTGTATTACATTTACATTAGAAAGCCATTGATTATCGATTCATGGATTGGTATTAGAGTTCGATATACATTTATTTATAAATACGCTGTGTACATAATTTATTCCATTGTATTTCCAAGTCATCAGTAGCATAATATTCAGTTTAAATAAACTGAAAAGTTGATAAAAAAAATTCGAAAACAAACATATAACTTAGTGATGATGTTTCCAGCATAAATTATCCATCATAATCATATCAATGTAATCATACTACTTTTGATATCTGGTTTTTATAGTCCTGTCACATCTCATTTTCTTTGTTTGATTGAGAGTACAATTTTCCATATATCTGTTATAGGTGTTGCGTCATTTCTATTACATGTTTTGGGTGTTAGTTGATTCGATAAACAAAGATTCAGTAATTAATCTCTCTCTCTCGCTCCACCTAGTTACATTGGACTTAATTAATTACAGTGGTTTTATTCCACTCTATTGTGTGGTTATGTGTTAATGCATGCATTGCAATAGCCGAGTGTTTTTGTAGACTATTAATCTTCCTGGAGTCTGTTATTTTATATTTAGGTAAATTCCTTTGCTCCGCTATTCTAACTGACCCCAAACGGCTAGTTTGGCCTATCTATTTGACCTCACAGTCATTGCATGGAATTCGGTAGATTAGATTATTTTGCTTGATTGGTTCTATCGGATCCTTAAGCCACCTGACAAAGCTTCTTTCTGAGTGAGTTTGTTGGTAGGTTTAAATGCCGACCTAATTCCAGCTTTGTGGAGAATCCCACGTAAATTTTCCGACGTTCCTTCCTTACAGGGTAACGCAATAGGGGCTGCCAACTGCTTTCTACTCCTGTTACTGTTATTATTTCGTTTCGTACATGTTTGTACGACTTTCTTAATAAACTTTAAAGGATATCAACGCTTCTTTTATGTGCGTCAGTTCCTTGTTCAGGACTTTGGATTGACTAGTCAGTTTTTCAGGTGTATCATTTAAACACTTGACTAAACAAATGATATCAGCTGGAGAACCACAGGAAAGCAGGGAGCACTGGACAGCTGTTTTGTCCTAGTGTGGGACCCCTCAGGAGTACACATCCATGGCTCCGCCCTGGTAGGGTCGAACCTAGGAACCTCAGGTTCCGTAGTCAGCACGTTGCCATTGAGTTATTGAGTCCGAATCCAATAGTCCATCTTTTCTACTTCTCTTGGTTCATGATACAGTGCGACTTCCATCCAGTGGCGTTGTCGAGTAACTGTCCACAAGTCCAACTTAGTTGGACCCACCGGTCACGACATTTCATTATGACTTTGAGAATCTCATCTCGAAGCTAAAAGGTAGTCAGTTTATGAACTATAAGTAATGTAAATACCACTGAAAAACTGTACACATAAGAAAAACAATCATAGTTTTCTAAATGTGTTTAACTACTCTAGAATTCTGAAAGTAATAAATCTTGAAATAATTTCGGTGAACGTGCACGTCAAGAAAAACAAGCTGACATATCGATTCAAACGTCTACATGAAATTATGGTGATGTAGTTAGCTAGATAATTCAAGTGAATTGGACAACTTGAATGTGACCTATCAATTTGTAGTGAGATCATTAAAATGCCCATTATTAAAAAATTATCTGGCTATTATATAAGAACCATTGAGAATAGCTTAAACATCTGAAATATGTACTGATGTTTTATTAAACAGATGAAAAATGATACGGATAATGTATAGTTTTATACTGAAACTGGAAAATATACCTGTATTTGTAGGGTGAAATTGTACACCATTTAACTTTGAATGGTTATCAGTTGACAAAGCGGTGTTGACACGTCCGAATGGTGTTACATCTTCTATATCACTTTCCCATGAAGTAGACTGAGATTGATCTACAAAATTATACCATTGAACATATTTAAAGGAAGAATGGAAAAATGAATAAAAAGAATTTATAAGAATTTTACTAGATTAGGTAATCTTAATGATATTAATTTAACAATATCGCTTGTTAGGAGGTAGGTACATTCAGCTGACTAGTGGGTCCCAAATAAGATGAAGCGCACATTAATCACCATTCCACTGCTAGCCACTATCTATCATTAAGAATACTCAGACTTATCGTCATATGAGCTTTTAGTAAGTATACATTTTCATAGTGTAAAGTCTCCATCTGTTGTGATGCCCCAGTCTTGTATAAAACATTGTTATTGATCTGAACATTTTAACATGTCATTCCCACATTATTTTTACGGAATGACCAATAGTCTATTTCTGCCTCCATTGTAATGTAATTCGCTGATTGGTTAACTTTTACTCTTACTATGCGAATTTCTCCAATTGCGGACAAGGTCATTCTTCATGTGTGTACTTATTGACGTGTTTTGGATTGATTCATTGTTATTATATTCTCGGAGAAACACACTCTCCGATCTGCCAGCTTCGCTGTTCTCTCTATTCGTCCCGGGGTTGCAGTCAGTGTCTCTTGCGAATCAAGTTAGCTGTCAGCTAAGCGTGCGTATTATATTCGTTCTGGAACACATACATATACCATTAACGCTTCGAAACCATAACACTATCATACTGAGAACTACATGAAAACACAGTCAGTCGACTTCACAATAATTCATATCAATATTGACTCAGGCAGAAATTAGACACTATCGTAGAGCAAAACACTTCCAACATAGTCTGCTAATCACATTCATCACATAGTCAAACAGTGTTCATTACTCACTGCATAACACACATAACACAATTTGCCAAGATAACCTCATAACATGATTTACACAGTTTTACTTCCATCTCCTCTTTTATGCTTTACACAGCATAATTTCCCAGTGTCTTTACAGTGAGCCTTCGATACACAAACATTCCGACACCAACCTACCTCTCTCCATACGTACAAATTACTTTTCACAACTGACACTCCACCCTACCTCATTCTGTATTTGTGCGTCTCTCTGTCCGTCTGGGTGAATAAATCTAGGCGACATTGTCTATACATTTCTCATCTCAATAAGGTCTACCAATTCGTATTCATCTCACTTTCTATGCTCACAATACTCAATGACACTAACTGATCAACTACTACTCTTACTGATGTATTCAACCTCACAATCATCATTCGTACACTAAATCATTTCGTCGAATTGGTTAAACAGGTCATTTCAGTCCATACACATTCCTTTTGGATCAGCGTGTGCATTTAAGCATCAATCTAATCTCAACCATATTGAGAATCCTATAGGAAGCGCCTCACACATGGATGTCTTTCTCATATGAAAACACCTCAAAAGTTCCCAATCTTCTCATTACCACTCAACTCACTCACTCACTCACTCACTCACTCACTCACTCACTCACTCACTCACTCACTCACTGCCAGTAGTATTTCTCCCACAGTTTTATATAACACAGTTAGTCGTGAACAAAGATTACAGTAAAATGTCAACATTAAGAAAATTGAGATATCAGATTTGGACGAACTGTGTGCAGAGTATCTACCGATCACATAGCTATATCATAGTTTTCCAAGAATAACTACCAACCTGCAATTTCACCAACAATCAGATTGCAGGTTAACACAGAGTTTCAACAGTTTCTATGCCTGACAGGGTTTATCAGTTAACAAGGCATATCACCAGTTATTAACATACTAAACAAAGTGATCATAAGGTCTCATCACCAACGGAATCACAATGTCAAACAACCGTTCGCCTTGTGGGGGAGTTATCTCAGCACTTTGTTTCGGTAAGACTAGTAAGATTCTACTGATTAACATCAGTGGCGGTTGACTGTGCATACAATGGCGGAAACTTGTCACAGTGAACTTGAGGATGAAGCATCAGAATCCGAGGATGATGACTTTCATCTTTAGATAGAGATAATCAAACTAAAGAGACTACTGTTTCTATCACATATATCCAATCTTCAAAATAGACTAGATGTTTGAATGATAGACAGTTTTACGATGTCTCCACTATCACTGCAAACAAGTGACATCGACTGGCTTTTTGTGTGCGATGAATGATCGTTTTCAGGTTATTGGTGGATTGATTGTCCAACCAAAGATTGTAAGTTCCATCTACCTCACACAACTCATTTATAAGAACTAAGAACTATTTCTCTCAATGATTTCCTCTCATTTCTCAAAAACAATAACCATCACATTACCAGAAACAGTGATATAAAAGAAGCTAAGTATGTTTTATGGCATAACTCCACTAACTTCCTCTTCCAGCTAATTTCTACAGATGTTAGTTAACAGGAATAACAACACAACAATCAAAAATGTAACTAAACTTCTTGCTGAATACAACAGTGACGTCTACTTCACTTAGATTCACTATTTTCTCATCATCACTCCCAATGATGTGATGAGAAAACAGAGAATATACATCTTGGTAAGCTTGACAAACGCTTTGAGATAGCAGTCACTGATGAAAGAAATCACAAAACAATCATGTTATGCATTTATCAATCCACTGATTTCGGTCGCTGGTTAAAGTTTTGTAAAACAATTATAAAAAAAGTGGTGAACATGAAACTTTAATGGAAAAGTTTTAAAATCCGTTTTGTATAGGACATATATAAACTTTATTTTTCTATAAACGTAAGAAAAATTATCATTTCACCCATGAATTTCGCCGATAACTTGTGTCTGGTGTCACACAAGCTTGAAGATCTATAGGCGAAAACTAACAATTTTACAGAAGATGCAGGGCAGCGAAGATGGGACTTCAAGTGAATACAGAGAAGGCAGAAGTGATGAAGATACCCAACCAAGAACACCACCACCACCAACAAAGTCTAATCACGGTCAACGGAAGAAACGTAAGGGAAGTAGCCTCCTACACCTATGTAGGATGTACTGTCTCAACTACACGTGGCGGCACAGACGAGGATGTCAAAGTCAGAATCGGAAAAGCAAAACAGACGTACATTAGTCTGAAACCAGTGTGGAAGTCTTCTGTACTCAGCATGTGGAACAAGATCCGGACTTCCTTAACCAACGCTTAGTTTTTTCAAATAGTTGGACTTCATTGTTGACCAAATAACTATGGTTATTAATACTAAGGACTAAGCAAATATACACCAAGCTGTGATATAGAGGTAGAAATGCATGCAAGAACCACGTGCGCATGTATGATATGTAGGTTAATGGCACTATTTGGCTGTCCAAGCTTCGGTAGGCCAGGCAGTGTTCGAACCGATGGTCCATTTGGTTGAAAGTTAACGACAGCTCCAACTTTTGTTGATATGCATACTTTAGGGGTTTGAAGTGAACAAAAAACTCCAACATTTTACAGGAAATTTAGTTCAATCTTCTACGGGGGAATGATAATTGCAATTCACATTTCAAGGTCAAAAATGTGCAGTTAATCTTTTTGTTCAAACAGTGGTACATCTATGACCACAAGACTGGGTGGCATGGTTCGAATCTCAGGGGGTAGAGGGCAGGACATTAATTCCTTTGCGGTTGCACATGTGCCTTTTTGACCAGTACCAACAAGCTTGGAACCTAGGTCAAGTACAGCTTCCTGTCGATTTCCACCCAACGGCCTAACAGTCATTTTAGCATTATTGCTTGTATTAAACCGGCGTTAATTGGACCGAATTGATTGGTTTCTATTTGGCATATGGGCTCGTGCACGGGTGCCTCAATACTGCCTGTGTTATAATTATATATATATATATATATATATATATATATATATATATATATATATATATATATATATATATATATAGTGGTCTAATGGATAGTGCTCTGGCATTTGAAGCAATCGGTCCCGAGTCCGAATCCCGGTGGGAACAACATCACTCACTTAAAAGCAGATACATTCATCTGATGAGTCCCAAATAAGACGAAATAGCATCCTGTATTCCACTGCTAGTCATTATCTGTCTTTAATAACAGTCATTATTTGTAAAACGAGCGATTTCGTACCATCTAGTAAACATGTCTTGAAGATGATTACTCTGTAAATAAGATTTGGCAAACTGACTAACATTAAATATCTTTGATCCTATTTGTGTATATATCTTTGATATTTGGATTGTGATTATTTCTTTACAGAAATCTTGATGAAGATTATTATGTGAAACATTAGAATTATTTGATTATAAACAAGTTGTACATATTGAATTTCTTCTTCCAAAAACAAAAGGTTTCCTCTACTCAACTTTTATTATTTTGCTATTTCTTCAATAACAAGAAAAAAACACAACGAGAAATGAAGAATAATAACATTTTGATAAAATAATAATGTGTATAAAGCTAATAGTATTTTCAATGGTAGATATGACTTTAATAATCATTCATCAATACAATATTCAAGTAGTTCTTTTCAAAGCTGTTTAGACTAATCTCTATGTCAGTATAAATTGGAAAGTATATCTCAGTGTTTAAAGTTATTCCATTCCCTTAAAATTCATCTGTCTATGCATTTTAAATCATTGGCCCAAAATATTACATTTATGACATAATGTCCATATATATATATATATATATATATATATATATATATATATATATATATATATATATATATATATATATACGTAAAATGCTTGAAATGTAGCCCATATTGTAAAATGTAAGAATACTTACCAAAGTTATTTGTATTGTTGACGAAATGATTTATATTGTTTTGTGATTGACAAGATGAATGCATCTGAGAGTTGTTTTGTAAAGTTGAATTGTTCGATGTCTTTGAAGAACTATGAAGTGAAAATATAATAAAATCATTGACGGATATTAATCAATATTGAGAAATATTATATAATTTACTTTTTGACGGAGTTGTGGAGATTTTGGAATTATTTCAAGTTGTTATTCATCGTAGACTGACATCAGTTGGAGGAATAAAGGAAAATTTAATTGAACTGGTGCTCATTGGTGACTAGCTTCGAGAAGTATTCCCGAAGTTCCAATGAGAAGTCGTGACCGGTGGAGTCAAAGCCTGATGGCCATGAGGACAGATACTAAGCGTTGACATTGGGTGGCGGTTGCGCTATATATCGTGAGCTAACAGAAGTTGGAAATTTGGAGCATTGGATTCTGACCCAGTGGCTCAATGGTAACGCCCTGGCCGCGGGTTCGATCCCTGTCGGTGGGGTCGTGGATGCGCACTGCTGAGGAGTCCCATACTAGGACGGAACAGCTGTCCAGTGCTCCCAGGTTTCCTTTGTTCCTCCAACTGATGTCAGTCTACGATGAATAACAACTTGAAATATAATTTACTACAAGGCAATACTTGTTCAAGAATGATTATCAATGAATAGAGTAGATCACTTGTGAATATATTGGTTATGTTAAATAAGGCTGAAACTTTAATTTATTTACCGGATAACAAGGCCATGATAAACATGAATCTTATCGTGTGAGTTGATCGGTTCAGTTCGATTTTTTACACCAGTGGATAAACCGATGTGGCTATGTAGTCTCGAAGTTTATCCACTAAGTTTTTCAATATAGCCATTAAGCACATTGAAATGAAACTTTAGTGCACTATATTTCGCTACGGGTAAACTGATTTTCAACATGAGATACAGAAATAAAGTGTATTGTAGTATCAAATCACTTTGTTTACTACACAAATTGCAAACTTAGTCAATAGACTTCAGTCACTGCTGGGCATTAAGGAATAGATAATGTCATCGGTTACGTACTGGGGACTAATTCGTTTGTTCAGTACAGTCCTTGAAGGAGTCAGCTGTTGCCTGAGTAGCCTAATGGCATTATCTCTGACCTTAGCACTCACAGATACACTTTGCTGATGAGTGCCAACAGGCATGAAACCTAAGTCTAGAGCTTTCTAGTCATTCATTCTCAACATCTAACAATTTTGACTTCTAATATCAAATCAGATCAACTGGAAAGTGATGAGACCAGTAACCGACTGAACTAATTATCACTTATATAGGCAGTAGTTACTTGTGGAATATCAACTTGTAAGCATTATCTTAGTTGGATTTTCTATAGACGGTTATCAGAACCATAAGAGATTCAAATATTTCCATTGAGTTATAAAAAAAATAAAGACTTCAGAGAAGGAATTTGTTTTCGGTGACATCATCCTCTGCAACTGTACAATCGCATTTAAATGTCACTATTTACTAGTCAATAATATTGTTAGTAGTTTGTGACCATTAAAAATAATATAGGAATAGAAATTACATAAGATATCTGAAGTAGACATTTACAGGTTAATGAAGTGAATGAAGACAGTGAACGGTGTAGTTGCTTCTAGTTTCCATTGTTGCATTATCACAGCTTCAGGAATGCAAACTAAGATAACCATTTCCTCACACCATTTGGATGATTACGTTGTACTTTGTAGACTAGTACAGACGAATCTTTTCGAACAATGTATCCATTGTCAACAAAATGTTGCAATATGAAGTTGTTGATTAATCTGCAATGACTTTTACTGAGTCATGTTGGAAGGTGCTGGTGTCGACGTTGGACAGTCTGTCTTTGCGTACAGCCGATGTATCAAGCTTCGTGGAAGCAGGTGATTTGATATGCACACATTGAAGTGGTTAGCAGTGACAGTTTATCCTTTGCATACGTGTTCCTCATTGAATAATTAGTATAGGACTCATCAGTCTGTGCTTTAGTACAAACTTTTACAGCTAGACTCCCATTATCCGAAAAAGAAATTTAGGCCATTCTAAACAAAGTGATGCCATTCGGAATTATACTACTTTACTGTACTCAGCCAAAGGAATCGCTGATTTTAAGTTTCCTTAAGTAGTTTGGAGATGATTAGAAGAGATCTGTCGTGTGTGTGTGTGTGTGTGTGTGTGTGTGTGTGTGTGTGTGTGTGTGCGTAATGTTAGATTCTTTACATGTCAATTAGCCATAATTTTATAGTAATTAGCAGTTATTGAACATAAAACATGAACTTCATGTTATATTCAAGCAAAAACGAAAAAAACAGATGATCAGCTTCAGAAGTTTTCTCATCCATAGATACACCTACTGAAATGTACATTGTTTAGTAAACACATACCACTTAACAAATTTGTTGTCAACAGTTGTAATTTGCCGTAATGATACTTGTAGTTTCCTGTTGCTATACAGGGCCAGATTGCTCAGCCTTTGCTGTTAGTAGATGGGCTCCTATGCGGATGACTCGGTACTGTCGGATATTCATGGTGTTATATTGATCCTGGTGACGCGTTTCGTGGATTCCTTTGTTATTTACAGAGATTAATCTAACATCATGAATATCCGACAGTATCGAAGCATCCCTATAGAAGCCGATCTGCCAACAGATATCGAGCAATTCGACCATGTATAGCAACGGGAAATAACAAGTTTCATTAAAACAGCTGATACTCATTGCATAAGATGTGGTTATTGTGCTTCGGTGGCTTAGTGGATAACGCTCTGGCGTTTGAATCAAAGGGTATTGGGTTCGAGTCTCAGTCGAGAGGTCACTCTGCACTGAGGTGCAGATACGTCCGGCTCACGAGTCCCGAATAGGACAAGACGCGTGTCCTGGATTCCTCTATTCCTCACCAAGCTCAATATAGTTATAATTTGTCTTAAAGCAGTATTCTTATCAGATATTGTTTGTTAAGATCTCTCGTTTCTCACCCTATAACTAACTGTTTATTAGTTGTACGAATACACTTATTTATACAACTACTAATTCCAACAACTCTATAATCTGTAGTGACGTAATTTCCTGAGACAAACACCTATAGAACATCATGGAATCCTTAGCCTTGTTAACTCACTTTATTCCAAAATTGGTCTATCAATGCCATCACTATACATGATAATGATTTTATTTCTATAACAGGTGAACTTTTAATATGATGGACTAAATGATTAACAATGAACAGTTTGAGTAAAGAACACTTTATAGAAATGTTTCATTATATAAGTTTCATGCTAGGAGAGGTTGGATTAGGATGGAAGACGATTCATAGTGGTCAGATAAAAACGTGGCAATGAGTCAATGAAGTCTCTTACTGTTGGTCTTAGCCGTGCGGAAAGATGTAGACTGTTTGGTTGGTTGGCTGCCTTGAGACGAAAGGAATCAATGGGTGAGGGGATTGATTCTTGCTGAAATGGCTGAAAATTGGTCACAATTGGGCAGATGTATTCACTCTTTGACATCTTCTAAGGCTTAAATATTCACACTAACATTTATCTTCAAATTATTTACTGTGTTACACTACTTTATCTGCTTTGACATTACTCCTTTTCTATCCATCTGTTATTTGTGTAATTCTGTGGTGAAGCGTGGCAACTTGAGTCAATGTACTTGTGTGCGAGGTTCTAAGTTGATTTAGTAGGTCAGTCAGTCAGTCAGTCAGTCAGTCAGTCAGTCAGTCAGTCAGTCAGTCAGTCAGTCAGTCAGTCAGTCAGTCAATCAATCAATCAACCGATCAGTCCGACTGTTATCAGTTCGTGATGAAGTTACTCGTAAATTCATAAATCGAAACGAATAAGCAACTGAATTCTTAAAAATAGAATGGTCAGTTTGATAATGATTTACAAATTGCACGCTCCACTTTAACATTTCTCACAGTTGAGTAGTTTTTCAACTGATCAACTGTGGTGTCAATAAGGTTTCTATTAAAAACTGCCTTACAACAATATTCACCATATATTAAGTAATTCAACTGTATGAGAGGTACACCTCTGATGCATTGAGTAGCATGCAGACGATGAATACTAAAAAGAAACACTATTCCATTGCTCTCAGTTTTACAATAGTTCTCCAATTGACTTCACTTTGTTATGAAAGATATTTTGTTTACTTTTGATATATTAAGGAAGAAAAATGTCAATATGAAACAAAAATTTAAAAGATCAACTATTTGATTAGTTTATTTACTCTACATATTTACAGAAGAAAAACATTTTTGTAAAAACAATTCAAACATAACTCTTCATTTTGAGTACTGAACGCTTATCTGGTGGTAATTAGGTTTAAGGAGTAATGAGTACTGACCTCGATTACTACCTTCAAATGTTAATAAAAACTATCATAGTAATGATAACTAGTGATAGTAATCAGGCTATACCATAGATTAATTTAACGTGAAAAACAATGATGATAGGATTTCAGATAAGAGTTAAAAAAGAGATGACTTAGCCTCAAAATCTGTATATCTAAGGATTGGCTGTATATGACAGTCATGAAAACTTTAATTACTTGAGCATCAGAAAGTCAGACAAAACAGATGCTCAATTCTTTTTGGGTTTAAGTTGTCCTTTAGGCATTCGTTAGACCGATAAAAATATCTAAGAAGACTTGGATTTCGCCACCGATCATGATCTATGTCTAATGTCTTCTCTCACAAACTCGAAAATCTATTCACAGACGAAGACTAACAAGTTGAAAGAAGAGGCGGGGCAGCGAAGGAAGATGGCACTGACTTCAGGTGGACGTACAGAAGACACAGGTGGTGAAGATACCCAACCAACAACACCTACAACAAGCAACAATTACCATCAACGGGGAAGTCTAAACAAAGTTCTCCCTCTCATCTACACAGGCACCATCGTCTCAACTACACGTGGCGGTTCTGGCACACATGACGGTGTCAAATTGGAGATATACTGCACTGCACACCACTCAGCATAAATTGTGAACAACATCCGGATTTTCAACACTAGTATCAGTCAAGTAAGTCAGTGCTTCTATATGACGGTTCACAGACTTGGCACCTTACGAAAAGTATTCACAACAAACTACAAACATACATCAAACAACAGCTGCCACCTGCGTTCACTCCATACTGAAGAATAAGCAACAAGGAATTCACTCTGACTGGTTGACAACGAACCAACCAAGAACCTATTGCCTAACAAATGTGCAGAAGAAGAGAGTGGAGATGGATTGGATTGGCCATACACTGAGAAGGAAGACGGTTTGGGAACATTTCGTGCCAGGCCAGGCCGTTGAGTAGAACTCGTATGAGAAACGACGAGTTGGGCATCCGAGGTGAGGGTGATATGGAGGAGATGATGTGAGGAGGAAATGAAAGCTTGTGGTCAGTTGTGGAGCCAGGTTCAAAAGATTGCAGAGAAGAGAGTGAAATGGTGACGTGTCACTGAAGCCCTATGTTCCACTAGGAACCCAAGGGATAAATGATAATAATAATAATAATAATAATAATATATTTTTGAGATGAATGGGGATTTTTAATTTAGAAGTAGTATTCATCATAGACTGACACCAGTTGGGGAACCATTGAAAATCTGTGAGCACTGGACAGCTGTTTCGTCCTAGTATGGGACTGCTCAGCAGTACGCACCCACGACCCGGCTGGGGATCGAACCCAGTACCTTCAGGTTTCACGGCGAACGCGTCAACCATTCAGTCACTGGTTCGGTTTCCAGTGGTTCACAATTTCCAACTTCTGTCAACCAGCCGGAAGTGAAGTGAATGCTAACTGAAGACCTTGGGTGACAGTTGCGCTATGTCGTGATTTGACAGAAGTTGGAAATTGTGAACCACTAGAAACCGACCCAGTGACTGAATGGTTAACGCGTTCGCCGTGAAACCTGAAGGTACTGGGCTCGACCCCTAGCTGGGTCGTGGGTGCGTACTACTGAGGAGTCCCATACTAGGACGAAACAGCTGTCCAGTGCTCCCAGGTTTTCAATGGTTCCCCAACTGATGTCAGTCCATGATGAATACTACTTCTAAATAATGATAATAATAATAATAAGTCATGATTTAATTCAAAAAACAATTGCGAAATTTCTAACAAAAGACACTATTCTTCAGATTGTGCAGTTCAGAATATAAAATACCTACCAAGTGTTACGATTCGTAGAATTTGGATCAGAATTACGATTTGTCTTATTCTCTGTAAATAATTTGATCAATTCATTCCAATTGTATTTGTATCAAGGTGAAATAGAAGAACAAGAACACAGAATTATTTGATAAATTGGTAAACAGATAAAAGATAATCATTTTCTAACCAAGTTATAAAAATAGTTATATGAACAGTCAAAACAGAGATAGACAATAGTAAAACAATTTATTGATAACGAGTAATCTGTCTGCTTCAATGAATAAGAAAAATGTATTAAAAGAAAAGTGGGAAATTTTTATAGTAAGTCGATTAACTCGAGGAAATCCTTCTGAACAAGTAACTCAGTGGTGGGAACAACATCATTCACTGGGAGGCAGGTACATCCAGCTGATGAGTCGCAAATAGGACGAAATGCGCCTCCTGGATTCCACTGCTAGCCACCGCCCATCATTACTATATATGATTAATTAAACAGATATCTGTTTTCAAGTTAAGAATTTGACAATAACTGTTTTACAACTGTTTACTTGTTTTAATAGCATTTATTGTACAAGTTTTCTGTTCATATGATTCAAGCCATGGTTACTATCAAACAGACTGCATCCTATGACCAATATACTCCAGTTTCTGAAGGAAAGGATTGTGGAATTTTTAAGTTTGGTCACTGCTATTCTCATATCATTCTTTTTCTTTCAGACAGTAAACTTTGTAAAAACCCTACTTGATAACTATGGATAATTGTTTGGCACAACTGATTCTTGCAGACCCGAATGAAAACTGGTACCTTGACTTGGTAGTTGGACTAGCATATCACAATAACTGCTTGTTCGCTCGATATCCCAACATGCCAGAAAGGTCTGTTGGATAGTGGTAAGACGAAAGTAGTTACCGTTGTAGTGTAAATTACTAAAACTCACGCTAATTCTGCCTTTCCGACAGAAAGAGAGAATTAGAAAAGATTGGCTCAAAAAATAGTACACTCCTTTCTGCCATATAACCCTCCGGTGCCAGAGGTATGGGTTTCTCCTATCCGTCATTGGAAAAACCAAACCTCAAAACAACATCCCGCGAAAGGCAACATGTGACGGGCATCAAGGAGATATCGGATGGGATCTGTGGTCAGAAAAACCATTTTCTCTTTCAGGTACCCTTAACAAGAACTAGACTTCCACGGTGTTGGCAGCCGGGAAGTGTCAATTGTCCACATGCTTCCAGTAGTACACAGGACACAATCAAACATAACCTATTCTCTTCAACTCCGTCTATTCCTTTGCTTTCACCTACTCATACCAATGGTAAGCGTCTTACACCTTCCTCAACCTCTCACTTTGCAACCACTGTCAAAGATCAAAGCCATCGAAACCTCATTCCTAGTCTCCTAAGACACCACCCGCTATCGATTTCATGTAGGAGCTTTCAACGTCTACACTCCATACCAAATCGGATAGCGTACATCACTCGCCGAAACTCTGGAATCTCTAGCCATGGATATATGCTGTTTTTGTGAAACACAAATACAAGGCCTGAGTGTAGTTATTAAATTGACGTCACCTAAACGTAGTTATGAATCTTCAAAATTCACCTTAAGAGTATCCGGGATCCAGTGGCTTGCTCTCGTGGTCGTGCTAGTGTGGGCATAGCATTGGGCTGTAGAGCAGAAAGTGCGCTTCTCGACTGGATACCAGTCAACAGCCATCTATTCGCTGTTCGACTGAATGGAACTGTAGTAACTAGGAAGAATCGTGACATTAAGCGATGTCTATTCGTCATCTCCCCTTACCCACCCACCAACTGCAGTTATGATGATGCGAAGGATGAATTCCATGAGAAGCTGTCAATTTTGCTACAGAAAGCAAAACGCTCATCTGTAGTCATAATAGCAGGTGACTGACCAACGCTCAAGTAGGGAAGCTGAGCCGATCGGAAAGGTATCTTGGTGGCATATACGGAATCCCAGGCAAACGAACTGACAACAGTGGTCGTATGTTGCAATTTTGTTCTGACAATCACTTGTTTCTGGCTGGCATAAGAAGAGACACTGTGTCACATAGCGTCCGCCGAGATCAAACTAAAGACGGACACAGACCACATTGCTATAAGCCATCATTGGAGACGACTGGCGAAGGATTGTCGCTCTTCCTGGAGTACCAGTTTGAACTCCGGTGACGCGCTAGTACGATCTCTTGTGTGCCTGCACCTTACTGGCAGCAAGCAAAAGAAGGCAATAAAACGTGTACGTGCTCGATGGGAAGACGAGAACACCAAATACCTCAAACGCCACAGAGCAGCAGGACCTGACAGTTTGTTACGTGAAGTTTTCAAGGATAGAGGTAGGGGATTGCTGATAAGAGCGACAGAAGTACTAGGTAGTGTATGGTAATCACAGGTAGTGCCGTCAGATTGGTCTAGTTCACTGATCAACCGAGTTTATAGGTAGGGGAAGAAATTTTCTCCTGATATCCGTAAGGAAATCAGTTTGACCAATATTGTGTCAAAGATCCAAGATCCAAACGTCTAACTGGAGCCAGAGAAAGGACTGCAAACTTGAGAAAACCAGACCAGTTTTCAGACACTGATGAAGATACGTCAATCAGATTTTTACCCTATGACAGGTTCTGGAACACACACATACCTATCGACCAGTGGCCGACACTTGCCATATTTCTAGACTTGGAGGCGACATTCTCTCTTGTCGACCGTAAGGTGTTGTGGCACTGTCTGACTGTGAAAGGAGCTCTGAGCAAGTATATAACGCCAATCATAGTTCTCTACTTGAACTCAGGAAGCCATTTAATGTCTTATGCAGAGTTGTCATATTTATTGGCGACAACTAGTGGTGTCCGCCAGGGATACCCACTATGTGTTCGACGTTTTACGTTGATTTAGTCAGTCAGTCAGTCAGTCAGTCAGTCAGTCAGTCAGTCAGTCAGTCAGTCAGTCAGTCAGTCAGTCAGTCAGTCAGTCAGTCAGTCAGTCTTATCAGTAGTGATCGAACCAGTTGATATATCAAAAATCAACAAGGTTCGCTTAGTGTTTGGAGATAATTTAAACTTATACACCTTATTGACATTTAGCCTACTTTGTAGAAACGGATGCGATAGTCATCCTAACTGCTCGCTTTATGAATTTCATTTGACTCCTTCACCAGTAACAGTCAGCTTTATAACAATCATATGGGAGGTAAATTACAATCCATTATATTTGCGTTACTGAAACTCCATAGGCTGAAGTGTCAAGGTGAAAGAAGCATGATAATAGTGAAGATAGTTTTTTTCTAAAGTGTCAACTATTTTAGTTATCTTAATCGAAAAAAAATCCAACTTTCATGCTTTTAAACTTTTTCAACAACTTTAATCTCAAGTAAGACATAAGATTCTGGTGAAATAGGTAAAAACTCTGTTCAGTTTATTTTAGATTGGTAAAACATTCAGTTATATCAACTTCTCGGCTAGAATACCCCAACAATAATTGCAGACAGCTGATTTCATGTCATCTTTGATTCTACTATAGTGCTGTTGTAAACCAGTCAGTCACAAAGTACAAGACAATAAAGTTGAGGTTGAAGATAAAATACACTACCAAATTGCTACTCAAGATGTTCGACTTAAAGTTCTTGAGTCTTTAAATATTTTTGATCGGTAAACTATAAGTTTTACAGACTATTTCATTGATGAAAGGCTCTTTGCTGTTGATAACTGTATTAGGATGCGGTAGATTACGGTAGTTACTAAAAGTAACCATTATTCTCATCTTATTGAGATGTTATGATCAGTGAGTCTTTAAGGGTTGGATATGTTTTTTACACTTTTTCCGCTTGAAAAACTTGTGAACATTGTCTGTCAATAAGCGAATGGAATAATGGGTTTCAAGATATTACAAGGTAATCATAGAAATTCAACTTTGTTCGGTAAAGATGATCTTCAGAGCTATAAACTGATTTTCTGACCATTTTCATCATATCCTTTACGTACAACTCATCCTTGTCTACACTTTTGATCATGAATTCAGTCACTTTTGAAAGCATATTGTTTCGGTACTCAGTTAAAAAAACTAGGTCCAACTTTCGAAATATACTACTGAGTAATATGAGTAGTTTGAGACCATTCACGCTGATCTGTAGAATTTGCTAGCCAGATCAGAATGGTTTAAACACCAGATGTCCATTTCTCTCTGGCCATTGGCATTCCCGGAAAAAAAAGTCAGCTATTAGAGCTGAACTGTTCAATCAAACTGAATCTGACTAGCTGACTTGGCTGGGACCAGTATCCCCTAAAAAAAAAACTGCAAACGATATACAAACTGGACGGTTCATGGAAATCCTGTTGAAATCACGGTTTGACAGATGAAAAATAACTCAGCTACTCATGACACTTTTATATCGGTGATCACATATAGTGATCCTGGCTGCGGGATGATTACCAACGGACACCTTGTTGACACTATAGTTAGGAAGTTGAAAAGCCACTCAACTTAGAAATATCAACGTGAACCATGTAATTAGTTAATTATTTGCAGCAAATCGATAATCTTATTTTATGTTCAACTAGTTTTGTCTAGTTAGTCATGTTGGCTACGACATTTCGAAATAAGTCCATCGTACACAATTTCATGAAACAGTTCATATGGCCATAACAGAAACTGTCATAGTTGTGTGTACTTCTGTACTGTGGGTAGCTGGCTATAATACGATATATTTGATTCCTTATTTTTGAGATGGATGTAGGGTGATAAGCGGCACATTTTATATATTCTGTTCTAGGAAGATTCTACCACAACCCATATAAATCTAGAGTAGATGGTACCTGCTATGCGACCGATAGGTTTCAGTTGGTCGCCTAAATGTCTCTATCTTATACTACGATATATATAATCTGTTTATTCATGTCCCCAGTTAGCACAACTATGTTTAACATCATGTTTTCATAGGATACTGTTTTGGTGAGAGAAATAATTTTTGTTGACAAGTGGATTGTAACCCATAACAGTGTACCTAGAAATGACAAAAGAATGTCGTTATAATTCAATGTTATTGATTGGTGTAACAGTATTCATCATCCTGATATCATATTCATGATTATTAGTGGGAAGCGATTTCAGCTTCAGTACCTAAGAAACAGACCTCAACAAGTATAGACGTCAATGTCATGGAGTTCTGGGGTAAATTCACATTGAACATAAGCTTTGAGCTGGTAATTAGGGGAATTACTCATAGCTCTTCATGGGGCTTTTGAGTGTGGTTCTTTGACCTATAAGACAGATAACAGGTGAAAATTCTTCTATGCCTTTAGTCAAGTCTTTCTGTTCTCAGATTTACTGTAAGGCGAAAATACCTAGAGACAAGTAGATGAAACAAAACACAATTGGTTTCAAAATATCGAAACAATGGAGAAACATTTACACGACACAGGTAACGTATGATTCAGAGTGATATCCCAGAAGTCCAAACCTTCAATAGTGATGAGGAGCTAAGTAAGGAGGGTTAATGTTCAAAGTAAGAAGCAGTTTAAACCAGGACGCAATAAAGAAGTAAAGTAAATAATTAAGTAGGGTTCTTTTGATAAATAAAGCTTAATGTACAATAATAGTAATAATAGTAATAATAATAATAATAATCATAAAAAACTTGTGTGAAATCTGTTTTGTAGAATAGCATGCCATAAAATAAATGGATTTCGCGCTGTTGTTCAAAAAGCCCAGGAGGAAGCAGGTGATAATGTTAGAGGAAAATTCTCGAACTTTTGATTTGAAGTTTAACTGATAAGTTGGGCTTGGAGAGAGACGAAATTTCATAGAGCTGCATCTCAGTGACTATCAGTTACTTAAATAAGCTCATTTTTACAATAATTGGTCACTGGAGAGAACAACTAATTACCTGTTGTCTAGTTCTGATGTGCTGACTGAATACTATAGATCATTATGCAGTTCTATAGCTCAGCGGTAACGTCGCTGACTGCAACGTTGAGTCACACGCGTTCATATCTCAGAGGGGATATTAGTTTATTTGAGGTTTCAGATACTCATTGCTGATAAGCTCAAACAAACATGAAATTTAGGACTAGCAGAACTTCCTATCGACTGCTTCCAACCAACTGACAAGCTCAACTATACTCATTCATTTGGGACACTTTTACTCATATGCAATGCTAACTTATTATTGAGATTTCTCAACTCACCTACATAGTGTATCTTATATAACCTGATGTTGTCAATTCGGAATCCTATAGCTCTAAATTATTATGGTGTGGTATGATATAAACGTATTTTTAATGAGATAATTTTGAGAGCTTTTATTTAAGGTTACACATGCAGACAAAGAAAAATATAACACTGTAAGCAGTGAATATGACTGTACTTTAAGATATAACTAGTCTACTGTGCCAAGTCAGAAATCTGACTACGTTTTTCAGGTTAAGTGTTCAAGTGACTGTAATGATCACTCTTGAAATCACTAATTAAACAAATTAAACAGTTACCTTCATAAAATTAAGTCGAATCTTAAGACATAATCCAGAAATCTAACTGGTTAGTTCAGTGAATACTGGGTAATGATCAAAGGTGAAATGAAAATTTAAATCGCAGCCGGATTCGAACGAACGACTACCAGATTTTCGGCCCGATGATCTACCATGGCTATCTCAAACAGTCAAAATGATAATCAATACGATGCTCTCCCTCCCTAATTTAAGGAGATTTTGATTGGGATGAGAAGTTCTGACTGGTCAGGCAGTGTGAGTATCATCAAGTGATAGTAAGACGTCACAAATTTACATGATAGCCTAGTAAGATCCTTAGTGACTGAAGTGAAATTAAGACGTGATCGGTGGTTAGATTTCGCAGTTCAGTTGATAGAGGACTGGACCGAACAACATGATGGTCGCTAGTTCGAACCCGGACGATAGTCAAAGTGATAATTTCAGTGGATGTTAAACTGACCTTTGAAGTTACTCAATTGTTCTCAAATTCAATCAAGATATCATACTATACTTTTAGAAACTATACTGGCTAGAAAGACTTTTTTGATTTTCCACTCTATCTCATTAGCAAAGAGAAAAAAACTAGTTTTAAAAAATTACACTTGAACTCGATACTTTATAAAGAGTTCATTTATTATTAGTGAGATAGCTCAACCATCAAAAATAGACACTTCCAAATGTGAATTATGTCTATACAACAAAAGTAATTATCATCTGTATAATCGAGTTGATAGATAGCTAAGAGTATGATCATATTGTTAACATTGTAATCATTTGGAACTGCTTTCGAGATAAATTAAACCACCTATTCAACGATAAACACTATCACTTCCATAAAATAAGATAATGAATACACAGATAGACATGGAATGAGTTTTATTTTTCAAATACTTTATGTTCTAATGATTGATATTATCACAGATATCGATTCCTTTCCTAATATTATAATTCGTAAGTTATTATTGCTTTTTATGAAGATATATACTTCAGTGTGAATTTTATCAAGTGGTAATAGCCCGTAACGAATTCACATGGTAGTCGGATAAAACCCTTGGTGATTGAAGTGAAATAAAATTCTGGTCAGCAATTAGATCTCGTAGCTCAGTTGGTAGAGCACTGAGCCTGTAACCTGGTGGTCGCTGGTTCAAATCTCGCCGCGGTTCAAATTCTCATCTCACCTTCAATCATCACTCAGTATATATACTTAAGTACTTTTATTTTAAGCTAACTATTCACGCAAAGTAATATTGGTCAATTTAATAAAAAACAACATTTCCGTTTACCAATAATTATAAAACTTTGTACCTTAAAATGAATGATTTTTTAAATGCTAAAAAATTATTTCAAACTACTACTAAGCTAAAAAAAAAGTTTACATGGAAGTTAATTGAAGTATGTAGATACGTTTATGTTTTTTTTTTATCGGACTAAACTTTAGTGATGACCAGTCACTTTCAAGTGTGCGTTGACCAATCAGAATCAGGTATACATAAGACAGTGTAATGGTATTTTATTAACAATTTAAAAATCTGTTTTACATGAGATTTAAAGATATCTAGATTTTCAATTGGGCTTGTCATATTTTAAACCGTACCATTGTCAGTATTCCCACTTATCTATTTGGAACCGACTATATTATATCCAGTCAGGATTTCGCCAATGGTCTTAAGTACCTTCTATAACAACTTCATGTATTTCCAATTCCTCAATTCCTCAACTGTCAAACCAACGAGGTACTTTCTGTGAACAAGAACTTAATGGGGTTAACCCATTCCAGACAACGATATGTACGACTTCGAAACATCTGTGTATATTGCAGTACCTAATTCTAAAACTGGTAGCACAGATTCTTCTGATCTATCCTTTAGCCACTTGAATTGTCTTTTCCTCTTATTTCGGTTGAATATGACAGGAATCTGTGATTTGTCAAGACATATGTGTATAACTTACTCAGTGCTGTTTAATTCGTCTTCTTCGGTTGTATTTGCGTTTCCGAACAAAACATTCACCTATTTCAACTGTATTACTTACTCCACCAAACTTCACACCCAAAGTGCATATTGTTTTGGGACAAATACTTGTACAGTGCTAACAATGCTGCCGCATTGAAGGAACTTCACTGGCATCTGTCACAGTTCCTGCTGATATTGCAAGTTTTCTAACAACTCAGTGTAGCACTAAAATGATTACTTGTTGGAAAGTTAAATGAGATCCTTTGAAAAAGGATCCTATTCTCAAAGATTTCTTGTACTAGGTGGGACAGGGGAAGAAAAACCATCTGTTTTCTCATTATCACGTATACAATCCATTACAAAACCACGTTCCTCGTTTAGATTTACCGTAAGCATCTAGTTGTCTTTATATAACATCCACAACGTAATCTTCGTCAACATCCATCAAAAGCTTACGTAAACGGACGTAACGAATGACCTTCAATATAGCATTTGCAACCTGGTTGATCTTCCTCAAGGTTTCCTGTCACCAAAGTCTAGTTCATGTTGAAAACATAGTTTACTTCGATTGAAGTAAGCAGTTTTAGGTACCCTTTGTTTCCTATCACTATGGACTATTTTCTAGATATTCTTTTTGTTTTGATGGGTGATAAATGTTTCTACTCCAGGTTGAGCAAATTCCGTTTACTTTAAACTTCATATAGCATTCGTCATTACACTTACAATTACCGACAAGCTCGGTCAAGGTGGGAGTTACGGCCAGGATGACAACCTTTACCATCCCGACATTTTAACATGATTAAGCCGTTCAGGTCACAGAAGATAACACCATCAAAATTATCCTTCTGAGCTACAAATATTCTCCATCATTTCAAAAGTTTATGTTTCATGTTTACACTATTAGCCATACACTACAATGATATCAAGTTAATAGTCAGGAGGTGGGGGGGGGAGACACCGTACTGCACCGAAAACCAACTTCGTGCTTATTACAGAGTAAAATCTTGTCGAATCAAAATATTTCATTGAGAAAACTAGCTAAATAGTTGAACACAATGTGACGAGAAGAAAAATAACAGTGAATAAATCTCATGATTCATTACCTGTCTCATCATTTATCATTCTTACTCTTAAAGCAGCCATTTCAAAGCTGGCTGGTATTGCTCGACTATCAGGTCGTTTTGATTTCGATTTGGTTTGTTGGGTTGTATAACCAAGGCCTGATGATTGTTCTTTCTGTTGGTAAGTTTCAATTACATGGCTTCCATTAGCTTGCTTATTATTCGGATCCACATTTTTTGTATCCTGGTATAAATCTATAGAGGTAGGATGAAGAGAAGTAAAATAAAGCTTTGTGAAGTATGTGGGTACGGTTATAAAACCATCAAACATCGACAAGCACTGAACAGCTGTTTCGTTTTAGAATATAACTCCTCAGCAGTACGAACCGACAACGCCACCCCACCAGGAATCAAAATCAAAATATTCAGATATCACAGTGAACGTGTTAATCATTCAGCCACTGGTTTACAGTTTCCTACTTCTGTCAATTTGCGACATAGCTTCAAGATGAGACAGTTCTCCAGTGCTTCCAGGCTTTCATTGGTTCTTTAAATGATGTCTGTTCGTGATGAATACTACCATAAAACTTTTCATTTTAAGAATAGTCTTTTGAAACGAAGATTATTACGAGAGTTGAAGACTATCAACGCATTTTAGCATAGAAAAGTCATTTATATGATAATAATTATGGATCAGCAATTTATACATCAATGAGGCTTTCGAAAGGCAGTGATAAAAGTTATGATTATCGGTATAATCTTTAATTCGTGTATTCGATCACCTCGATCAGTTGGTATTGAAAGGTGTAATAATTTATTTCCAGGTATTGATATAAGTCTATTAGTGGCAGTCAAATCTCTACCTGGACTTCATCAATTTCGAAAAGGTCTTCGACAGCGTCGACCAACAAAGTGATTTGGCAGCTGCTGCTTCAACATTACCGAATACCACAAAACTTTATCAATCTCATTCAATAGCTGTATGAGGATGCCATATGCCAAGTGATTCACAATGGAAAGCTCAGCGACGCCATTGAAGTGAAGACAAGAGTAAGACAAAGCTGCCACCTACTATCACCCATAATCTTCCTGATTGTGGTCGACTGGACGGGATGATGCAGCAAACCGTGAGGAGCGAGAAGATGGGCATGCGCTAACTGGACCGATGAAAATAGCCTAGAAGACTTGGATTTCGTCACCGATCATGATCTATGTCTAATGTCTTCTCTCACAAACTCAAAAATCTATTCACAGACGAAGACTAACAAGTTGAAAGAAGAGGCGGGGCAGCGAAGGAAGATGGCACTGACTTCAGGTGGACGTACAGAAGACACAGGTGGTGAAGATACCCAACCAACAACACCTACAACAAGCAACAATTACCATCAACGGGGAAATCTAAACAAAGTTCTCCCTCTCATCTACACAGCCAGCATCGTCTCAACTACACGTGGCGGTTCTGGCACACATGACGGTGTCAAATTGGAGATATACTGCACTGCACACCACTCAGCATAAATTGTGAACAACATCCGGATTTTCAGCACTAGTATCAGTCAAGTAAGTCAGTGCTTCTATATGACGGTTCACAGACTTGACACCTTACGAAAAGTATTCCCAACAAACTACAAACATGCATGAAACAACAGCTGCCACCTGCGCTCACTCCACACTGAAGAATAAGCAACAAGCAATTCACTCTGACTGGTTGACAACGAACTAACCAAGAACCTATCGCCTAACAAATGTGCACAAGAAGAGAATGGAGATGGATGGGATTGGCCATACACTGAGAAGGAAGACGGTTTGGGAACATTTCGTGCCAGGCCAGGCCGTTGAGTAGAACTCGTATGAGAAACGACGAGTTGGGCATCCGAGGTGAGGGTGATATGGAGGAGATGGTGTGAGGAAGAAATGAAAGCTTTTGGTCAGTTGTGGAACCAGGTTCAAAAGATTGCAGAGAAGAGAGTGAAATGGTGACGTGCTTCTGAAGCCTTATATTCCACTAGGAACCCAAGGGACAACTAAAAATATAGTATGATAATATAAGGTTATTAGCTATGGGATACAGTGTGGTCGATAGTTTTGCCCAATATGATACGTCACGATGATATAACCTTCGAAAGGTGAGGTATCTCAGATGTAGGCGATATATAGAATAAACACTTAACAATATTCACGTGGCCATGGAGTGATAAGAGTGAGAAACTTATACATACAATTCAACAGTGAATAGCTATAAATATGTATCTCAAAAGAGCCAATAAGAATGAATGAATATATTCCACAGATTACCTTTTATTGTTTATTCAAACACCTAAACATTGGCATTAGCTTATTTCTCTTTCAATTATACAGTGAAATTAGAGAAGCTGACAACAAACAATATGTCAAGTAACTGGTAAAAACTATACAAACTTAAAGTTTTTTTCATTCAGAATTAGGTTATTTTGAACGCATTGATAGATAAAATAATGATTCTCAGATGAACAAAATATCCAACTAATTAACGAGTTTTACAGATTGATGTAAGCGGTTTCTAATTATTCACATAATTTAATGAGTTCCACAGAGGTCATATCTTGTATCCTAAAAATGTCATTTTCCAAAGGAACTCACAGGAGAATAGAATATCTATTTTTTTTGTGAAGGGTGTGTGTGTGTGGCACAGTTTCACCATCTTACCCTTTCTTGAACAGTAAACTGTTAAACATATGCTTTCATTTATTCATTTAGATATAACTTCTTAAAAATTTAGAAGCTGATAAATTTTTTATCCTTTAATGGATAGAATAATCGAATTAAAATATGATGATTTATAGAAATTGTGCTGATTAGTTAAAGTGATATCTAGTAAAACTGGAGTCAAAGCAACTAAAGGTAACTAGTAAAACATTTTCATACACTTGTTAGATGCAGAGTGCACATCAAAACTTAATTTATATGACAGAATTAAAGGAAAAACATAATTATTTCTGAAGACCTCTCTGAATGCAAACCAAAACAGAAGGCTAATAAATCATGCTAAATAAATGGATGGTATATAAATAGGAATGAAAGAAGACTATGGTCAGTGTCTAGTTATTTTAACATTAGCTTCCTATTTCTCCTCGGCCATTCTTGTTATCCTAGCTTCTTAAAACTTTATCTCTGAATATTCCTTATGAGCAAATAAATTTAGGCATCTATAAATAATCATTTTAACCATCTGAGATAGTCGTAGTTTGGTAGACTTGTATTGATACTGGGTGATGATTGTACGTGAAATATGAATTCAGATCACCGCGGGATTCGAACCAGTGACTTCCAGCTTACTGACCAGGTGCCTTAATGAATGAGGTATGATAGCCAACTGCTGACTAAATCATAATTTCTCTTCGATCACCAAGACTTCCATCTTCAATCATTAACCAGTATCAATACAAGTCTAACAAACCGCAGCTATCTCATATAGTCAAAATCAATACGATGCTCTCCCTCCCTAATTTAAGGAGATTTTGATTGGGATGAGAAGTTCTGACTGGTCAGGCGGTGTGAGTATCATCAAGTGATAGTAAGACGTCACAAATTTATATGATAGTCGAGTAAGATCCTTGGTGATTGAAGTGAAATTAAGACGTGATCGGTGGTTAGATTTCGCAGTTCAGTTGGTAGAGGACTGGGTGGGACAATATGGTGGTCGCTGGTTCGGATCTGGCCACAATCTAAATTTTCATTTCATCTTCAAACATCACCCAGTATCTATAGGCAATGTTTTCTGGCAGGAAGTGTTCGTAATCGAAATCATGATTTCAGGTCACTGTGTAATGAGATCGATGCTTTCTAGTTAGCTTCATTGTGTCATTAGAACATTCTTGCTATTAGCACAGTTTATTGAACCAATCAAAAGGGGTCAGTCCTTTTCCTGCTCAATTTTACCAAATGAGAAAACACATTTTTACTGTGAAACATTAAACGCCCATTAATATTCAAGGTCAGCGTTAAAAATTACAATACTATAATAAAGGATAAAATATCAATTGAGACAGAATTCGTTTCAATCACTGTGGCCATATAGGGTGATACTTTGTGATAGTATAAAAGAGAAACAACTACCTTCTATGAATATTTCCAAAATAAACAACAGTTTTCTTAAAGTTTGACGTTTACAGGAATTTCAACTATTTCAGAGTAGTATTCATCACAGACTGACATCAGTTGGAGAACCATTTTAAAACCTAAAAGCACTTCACAGCTGTTTCGTTCTAGTACATGACTCTTCAGCAGTACGTACCTACGACCAGACTACCGATCGAACTCAGGACCTTCGGGTTTCATAGAGAATGGATTAACCATTCAGCTACTGGGTCGGGTTCAGTTCAGTAGTTCACAGTTTCCAAGTTATGTCAATTCGCGATGTAGCACAGCTACCACCTATAGTCTTCATTTGATATCTGCTTTCCTACCGACTGGTTGACCCCACAAGTCACGGCTTCTCATTGGAACTTCGGGATATCCATATGGAATCATTTCACTAATGAGCAGTATACAGTTATGTATTTTTGAGGTAAATTGAGATTTTAATTTTGATTCAGTATTTATCACTGACTGACATCAGTTGGAGAATCGGTGAAATCTGGGAGCACTGGACAGAGGTTTCATCCTACTATGGTACTCCTTAGCAGTACGCACCCACAACCTCACCTTGCCAGAAGTCAAACTCTGCGCCTCCAGGTCTTGCGGCGACTGCGTAATGTGTAATGGAAGCATAAAAGTAGCTGTTCACTTGTTCGCATTTACCTTGGCTGCCTAGTCAGAACTTCTCATCCCAATCAAAATCAACCTGAATTTACTCAAATCAATAATTATAAACATTCTGACCGAAGTGGTTATGAATGTCTAGGAAGAAGTTGAGCGCTGAGTCTAATTTCATCATTATAAAAATATATTTTAATATAATCTCAGCGTGTTTACAAAGATATTTCTGAAAGTTTTGTTGTGTAAACCATAGCTTCATCAGCAGGACGTACAGATTTTTTTTATCAACACCAAACTATACAGTCAAACGATATATCGAATATTTAGTGAATGTAGGAGTTGAAACGGGTTCACCAATATTTCTAATTGTTGTGAATCTCTATCTGAAGGCTTTGGAAGAGATTATTTTCCTTAAGAAGTGTCCAATGCCAACCCAGAATTTGGTACATATAAATATGAATGATACACTTTGTTATTCTTAATAAGGTAGGCCACAAGATATTTTTCGAACATATAAA